CCATTATCCCGCCAATTCACACTCTCCATTATTTTTCAGCAGTTTTTTATTCTACGAGAGCATATGGAATATGAAAGTTTACCTGAGGGATTTAACTCAATATTTAAAGAGTCACCTTGATAGACTGTCATGGTAAATAGTAATAATAAAAACCAACCATCGCTGAACAACTAGGTTATTTAAATAAAGCACTTTAACGGTTTAAAACGCGATATATTAGTTAAACTGATTTTAAAATGATTTTTAACTTCGGCCCGACGTTTCGGTGCCGCCGTGGTCACGGGGAGACAGTCTCCGTCCAGTAAAAATCATTTTCAAATAAGTTTAACTAATACATCGCGTTTTGAACCGTTAAAGTGTTTTATTTAAATGTGTACTACTCGCGTAAATTATATTTAACTAAGTTATTAGATCAGTGAAATCCTTGTTTAGATTAGGTAACGACATAAATACAAGTTACTTTATAGCTTAATTAAGGCGAGTTGGGTAATACTATTCGCTATATTTTACACGAAATAGACCCAAGAGACCAGTAGTTACAGTTAGTGTGTTCTGAATGCGCTCAACCTTGAAGTTGTGAACTCTTGTATCTTCGTTTTACGTAATAAATTAGATTCTAATTGTTATACAATGCGGCTCAATTTGTGACATATATATTATTTCAGTCAAAAAATGTCTCTGCTCTCATTTCATTGTCCGATATTGATAGGTAGTACGTGATTTTGGTATACGTCATACTGGTTGACTATTACTTTATAACTAGTATTAAGTTTCCTTTTTAAACAAGTGTAACGCCTTTTTTAACTGATGGCGTGAATGCCTAATGCACTATGTTGCAAATGGTACTACAAACTCCTCGGAGACAATACCCGACCAGAACCACTAAACACACCACCAGTGTTTTTGAGGGAACCCTGGAACGAGTATATTAATTTTTGTTATTTTTTAATGTCACGGTTCTATTTTTAAATATGCTATATTCTACGTTTTTTTTATGATTATCAAATTTATAATATAAACTAGCTCCAAACGTTGTTTTGCCATAGAAATTAAAATTATTGTCTAAAAAATAAATAAAAAAATTTAGGGGTGGACTACCTCTTACATTTAGGGGGATGAAAAATAGATGTTGGCCGATTCTCATAGATACCGGATAAGCACAAAAATTTTCTTTAAAATCGGTCAAGCCGTTTCGGAGGAGTATGGCAACGAAAACTGTGACACGAGAATTTTATATATTAGATTGTGTATGAAGAAACTATATTATTTTTTAGTCCTATTCTCATTATGTCATGTTTTTCCGAGTGAATACAGAATAATGTATTCATAAACCATCCGACGCTGCACAGACTATACGTTAAAACTTCATGAACATTCATATTCTGTGCTCGAATTAAATAAAACTATAGCAGCGCGATATCTCTTGCATATTTCAGGACGCGGTTTGAATTCACTGCAGGCGCAATACAAACCCGAAACATAAAAATATGCTTATGCATCGTTTAGCTATGACCGAACATGAGGGTTGCAAATATGACAATCAAAAAGGAATCTTATTGTATATTGATAGAGGTCATTTTGGCACATCTGTGGAAAGCGTTTTAGCGTTTTACCAAATCTCTTTAGCTGAAAGGCAGTAACACGAGTGCGGTGCTGTATGCGGTTTGCCGCCAACATACTCTGCTTAACATTCAGTGGGGCTTACTCCGAAGAATGTACATTTTTAATGTCGAGTCTGGACTACAAGGCTGAGTAAGTAACAGCAGAGTGCGGATGTAGAGATCTAAACATTTTGTACAGAGAAACTTACAGTTCAACGTTCGTGAACATTTGTAGTGTTAACTTTTACAAAGACAATATCAGAACGGAGAAAGTTTGATTGATTCATTTATTTTTATTGCACAGAAAAGAAATAATAATACAGATAAAACTTATAATATGCTAGTATGGACTGCAATGGACGGCATCAATAATAAACAATCTCTTCCAGGCAACCCAAAAATTAGAAGAAAGAAAACAGAGAAAATTAGATGTGCAAAGTAGGCGAAAGAAATTAACACAAACAAAAAATACTAATATACAGAACTTGAAAATTAAAACATAATTATGGTTATTATGATAATAAGTAAGTATTAACATAATTCTCAAAATCATAACCTTGTAAATTAGCAAAAGATTACTTGTATTTTAAAAATTCTGTAAGTAAATTTAGGCTATCAAATAGCAACTATATGTGTGTGAAATATCGTTCGCCTATCTTACCCAAGCTACAATTTCCCTGGAATCAAACACGGGACCCTCCTGCACTGTTAAAGCGTTTTATTTTGCCATGTAGGCGGTTATTATAGTGAACTAATGTTTAATAATATTATCTTATCCTATCCTTTCGGGATACAGAGCCGCCTCAAAGAGGATTAGTTTCTTGTTCCAATAAAATATTCTGTTTCACCAACTTTTCGTGCTCTCGTATTCAGCGGAACGGGAGATCAAACCAACAAATCTTCTTCGGTCGAATGCAACCGATTTCTTGAGCAAGCGAAACAATGTTACTGCAAGGAAAATATAATACACTGTTTGTTGCAAGTTTAAAATAAAAAGCACGCGATATTGGCTTCTTGTTGAATCGTTATTGGTTAATATTATTTATAGACAATAGGCTAAAATAATAGACAATATGGAAAAATATGGGATGTGGGAATTTCCTTCCGTTTTCAGGGCTTTCGTTGCGTGCGCTACGAAAATGGTTCAAGAATACAACAGATAAGTATGTATGAAAGAATGAATTACCAATTATTTGTTAGAGTTATCAACATAACAATATTCCGAATGGACTAAGGCGCGGGTACAGCTTGGAAAGTACATATTTCTCTTATTTTGTAATATAGTTGTTAATAAAACTCACCGGTGTGTTGACCATTGTGATTTACTTAACTACTAAAATATGTATTACTTTGTTTAATACAATACCTATAATATATAATTTATCCTGTACCTAACATTTTGACAAATTCTTATCAAGCTGCCTTATTTATAGACATTTAGGTCAGACGAAATTAATATTCGGAGTTTTTAATTTTCCCGGCGGCGTATTTAATTGTAAGCTTGGAGTTCAGTAATGAGAAGTTTTGGAAAAAATATCTACGAAGAAAGTTGAACAATATAAATTTTAGTTATCGTATAATATATTGAATATAACATAAATATTACTCTTAAAAAACGATTACACTTTTAAATAAAACACTGCAACTGTTTTAAACCCGACCCGATATATTAGTTAAACTTATTAGAAGATTATTTTGACTACGGTCCGACGGTTCGGATGCTTTGCAACAGCCGTGGTCACGGGGAGAACAGGCCGTAGTTATAATAATTTTCAAATAAATTTAACTAATATGTGTCGCATTTTAAACGGCTAATATTTTATTTACTGTAATATATACTACCCGCGTTAAGTACACACAGTATTCAACTGTTACTCTCTTAGTTTGTTGGTCACATAGCTTAGAATTTGGTTGAACAAGGTCTCGCGTAAGGTGTAATTAAATTACCAATAAAGTGGACATTCATGTTTTTAAATGGGAATATATGTTTTCCCCATACACTAATTTGCATTTAAAAAATCTTCAAAATAATAAGGTTATTAATTTGAAAGAAGGTTGTTATTTTTTAGCTCATCGGAAATGGAATGATCACTCACTCTTCAAACGAAACCAATTTGAAAAGTTCTCCGAGTCTTGGAACATTCAAGTTTGGCGTATTTCACAGGAAAATTCTTCTGTTATGAAAACAGTTATGACTTTCACAATTTTTCAATTTTCATCTCTGTAAGTAGTTATATAATATAACCACAGATTCTTAGAGCACACGGCGCAATTTTTATAGGGGCTGTGTAATATACACATCCATTAATTGCGATTAAGAATAATATTTCAGGATAAGAGTCAAGATAGTATAACTGTAATCAATCATAATCATTATTACGCGAATTCAAAGCAGTTCAAAGAAAAATATCTTTGCAATAACCAACAAACAATGTTAGTGTACGAATTGTAGATTAAAATTTGTTCGCACCATGTCCCACATGATAATTTTCACTTTTAAGACTGTCATTTTTTTCTTATTATAAATATTTTGTTTTTGCACATACACGTCGCGTCGCGAAGAATGAACAAGAATTTAGGTCATATAGTTTATCTCGGTATTTGAACCTTGTAATTAATTTAATATTGGTCACTAATAACTTAATCACTAGCTACAGTTATGCTCAAAAGCGTGCCGAAATAATTTTTACCGTAAAAATAATAAAATATGTTTTAATCTGGTTGAAATATTATTTTAAAAATAAATAGGTAAGTGTAAAGCAAATGTTAAGAAACAATACGAGTTAAATTTATAAATTGTAGGGAAAAGACTATCTTGAGTCATTGACATGAAGGAGGATTTTTTTTATTAAAAAATAAAAAAATCAAATAATTTACGCAAAAATACAGCAATTATAGATGAAAGGTAACAAAAAAGGTAGACTAGAAAAAGATTAGCCACTCAGCTTGTGTTGCATACTGCGATATGCAACGATTTGTAGTGGCTCTCGTGGCTTTGAGCGCTTGACGATAACAACTTAAAAATAGAAAAAATGAATAATTACAACACCATCAACACAATACAGAAAAAAAATATAGCTTACACAACTACAGAGACATTTTATTTTATTACTACTATTATTTAAGGTATTTACTTTTTTATCCAACTGTACTTATTGTTATTAAAAATTATTCATACTGAGAAATAGTTCAGTGATTCTGCACAAATTATGCGCCACACTCTGTGTGAGCAGCACGCATCAATCATAATTGTCGCGAACTATGAATCGAATTGCGTCCACAATCATTGAAAATTACCCGATAATAGATGCGCGCACGCAACATCCTGCAGTTTAAATTTTGACCGCAACGCACTGCTTCACAGTGGTGATCCATATCCAAACCGCAGTACCCGAAGCCATGTTTAAATTATTAATTTCACTTTTATGTTGCAATACAGTCTGGTCACAAATTGATGGCGAATTCTGGTGGTTAAACGAAAAATTAGCTCAGCTGCATAACATCGCACCGCCGGAGCCGAAATTCGATGATGTTAGCGATGCTGAGACTGATGAAAGTGTGAAAATTGTTTTTAAAGAAGATTTCGATAATGCAGAATATGATACTGAAGGCAATAATTTTAGACCCGAGGAAAATACAAAAATGTTAGCGGCAATTCATTTTATCGATAAAAGTGAACTTAGTGGACCGGATGAAGATTTACCGAATTCGATTGGACCGAAGGAAACACAGGATACACTATTGACTATGGGCAGTAACGAAACTAGTATTGCATCTACCACAGAAAAAACTGGAATGACGACTGGTAGTTCTATAATCTTGTCGCAAACAGAAGACGTTTTGAATTTTATTTTTCCTAACGACAATCAATTAGATTCAAATGATACCAATAAGAAAGTAAATTATAAGGAAAATACGTTGGATAATAAAACTGATGAATCAAGACATGTTTCTTTTAGAGATAATATTAAGATTCAAGACAGTGAAAGCATTTGCTCTTTTATGAAAACAATCCAGTGCGTTAGTAATCGTGGATTTCCATATTCGTTTAACGGCAGGTAAGTTCTTTAAGGATTTATTAATTTTTATTGTTTCTACTGTAGTAATGGAATCTAATTTTTAGACCTCTTTTGAGCCAAAAGGTGCAAGACCGTCAAATAGTTTGCTGCATTTTGCCACTGAAAGCTTACGATTCATCGAGAATTCTGTTTCCGGACTCAAGGCCTAATCATTTCCAACGTCATAAAAGATCTGATAATCATGAACGTGAAACTCAAGCACTCCGGCAAAGGAACGCGCTATTGAGAAGAAAATATCAATCACAACCTTCGGATTCAAAAACACCTTCAACTACTGCTCGTACCGTCGTTACTCAAAGAATAGTAACCCCTGAAGATTATTTGGATCCATATTGGAACATAAAGAATTCTAAGTTTAGAAATCCTGCTGCACCAGAAAGCGAAAGCTCACAAACAGATTCGAAGTATGATTATAGTAACCAAGAATATGCCGATGAAGTGCCTAAGCCGGGTGGATTATTAGGACTTTATTCAGATCATAAAAATAAAGGCTGGACTTTGGTAAGACCAAACGCATTTTCTTATATTGACACAGAAGAAATAAGCGAAGAGGGAGAAGATGGTGACTTTTCTCTTGGATATTCAACTATAGATCCAAGACTTGGTAAGTATTTTTTTTGAAAAAATCTCTAAAAATATGTTTAGAATTTAATATAGTTTTCTTTATTAAAACTTCTTAGATATTCCTATGGCAATATCTGCATCAAAGCGCAAACCATCAAGAATAAAAATTCCATCAAAAGACGTAATCCCTTTAGCAAGCAACGTCATAAGCTTCAGGTCGAAACCTGACTTTCAAGTTTTACAAGGCTTTAAACTGCTAAACTTAGTGGAAAATAAGAGCAGATTTGTCAGAAGAACGACATCAAGCTATGCGCCATATATTTCAACAGATCGTGAACCAACCAAGTCTCTTAGCTCTTACAATGCAGATTATGAAGATATTGATTTAGATCAACAGGTTTATAGAAACTGTGGAACGCGATCCAATAATATTTTTGACTCAGGTATGTTTAATAATGATATTATATCTAAAAACACTGAGCTGGTAAACGTTCTTTTACCAAATAAAGTATTTGAGCAAAATTTGATTTCTATAATAACAGTTCTCGTGGATTAATGTGGAAGAAGTCCTTTTGTCCATATTTTTTGGGTATCCTGAACTGTTTTCGCAGAGCACGCTACGGAAACCCTAAAAGTTCCGTAGCTCCATAGCAGTCAAAAGCCGAGTAGTATATTTTAGTAATAATTTTTGACATGTATGTGCTTGTAGAAGATCTTGTAGGTGAAGTGGAAAGAGACTCACAACCGTGGCTGGCGCTACTTGTTTTGACAAGAAATCGTCAAAGTATACTGTGCTATGCTACACTAGTGCACCCGCGAGCTGCCGTCACTGCAGCGGATTGTGTCTACGGGTACGTGAGTAGTTTATTTCTATATAAAAGCCAATTATTCGTCTACTTATTAATTACTAGAATAATCTTTTAAATAAGTAGCATTATCCCAAGTATCCTCGTGTAGAAAAAAAACTTATAATTATTACTATAGTACTCCTAGCACCTCTTATATAAAGTTAATACATATTATAATTTAGGCATACAAAATAATAAAGCAATAACAAGGAAGTAAAGTATTTTTTTATTTGAAACAAAAGACGAAAGTTATAAAGTTATAGGTAATTACTTTTATTTTACGTTAAAAATACAAATCACTTTCACGTGTAAATCTTATGTAGTTTTATTATTCTTATGTAACGTTTTAAAATGTCTATTACAGTTATAGTTTAAAGCTAAAATGTATTTAGAAAAAAATCTTGACACAGGCAGGACTCGAGCCGGCATCTATAGTCATCCGTGCTGCTCCTATAACCAATTGAGTTAGCGTTTGTTTGTTAGAGCAGTTCAATTTTTAAACATAAATTGATTTTTAATTTCTATAATGTGAAAAATAACAATATTAATCAATTATTACCATTATATCACCTATAAAATAATACATGTCTATAACGAGAAATTTTAGCAGAATTTTTGATAAAAAAAAAAATTATCCAACGCTAATATATATTATTAAAGCTTTTGGATCTTCTATTCACAAAGAGTATGGTAATCGAGTTACGTCGAGATTTGATATCATAATATTTTACTTTGATGATCGCAATCCTTCTATCTTACTATTTACGACTTTTCGTATATCTTACTTCTTATTTTATTTTTATAATTTTTAAAAGCATCGTTTGTATTAAATACTATCTGTAGTTTACGCGAGTTACTTAAAACACTAACAATTTAAAACGAGATTAGTTAAACTTATTTGAAAATACATAGCGTACGTAATACATACATACGTAGCAGATTTTATTTCGACGTCAGAGACACCCTCCATCTTTAGTCTCCCCGCGGTTTAAATAATTTTTAAAGAAGTATAAATATATATCATGTTTTAAACCGATAATGTGTTTTGTTTTAATCGTTTGTATTTACAGAACGGCAGCTGGTGAAGTTAGTGTAATTGCCGGCATTTTTGATCTATCCGAAGACAACACCAAATCTCAACATAGAGTGGCAACTGTTATAACTCATCCGCAGTATAAGCCAGGAAAATTATCAAATAACTTAGCAGTTTTAGTAAGTACATGTTTTAGCTCTTAGAAAATACTATTTTTTGAGGGTAGTTTTCCTTAACGGCAATGTGTAAAAAATGATAATAATCGGTGTCGTGTTTTTTTATTTATACTGGTATAAGTTTATTTGGGTTTCAACTGGGAGCAAGCCAAAAATAACTTTTATATAGTAATATATTGTACTTTTGTGTATGTTGAATAAATCAAATCAGATTTTTCATATATCCTAATAAGTTACTAAAAATAATAGTATTGAAATTATGCGGGAAAGGCAGGCGGGAATGAGCAAAGTGGAGTTTATTCCAAAAAAGGGGGGCTAAAAGATTCTTAAATCCAGAGGAGAATATCAGGCCACTCACGAACAAACGTTTATCTCCTAGGGCACTAACCTGAATCTCCTCTCGATCTCTCGCTATCTCCTGCAGGAGCCTTCTGAACTTTTTGATTTCCTCGGCGGCGTGCAATCTCATATGAAAGATTACCGAGCGAACAATAAAAGCAAAATTGTCGCAAACCAAAGCGAACGCACGCGGCGGTGTCAAAATGCGCAGAGGCCTCGTCTTTAGGCAAGAGCGATGGGCCAGGCCAATTCGTGCGTAAGCGAGACGAACCATGGCCGTAACGAGCACATTGTTTTTTAGAAACTTTTTATCAAAATTATGATTAATCAACACTTGACACGCGAAATATATAAGCTACTTATATATAGTTCAAGTTTTAAACCGTTTTATTGTGCTCTACTCGCGTAATAAAGGCAATATTTAAAGTAATAATCAAAATAAAAAGAACTAAATTTTTAGCATTGGAAGCGCCCCCTGATCCTCGGAAACCGCGTGCATCCAGCGTGCTTGTCAGGCCCTCATGTCGGTGACAACTGTTACTTCGTGGGTTGGGGTGGATACGATGAAGGTTAGACATAATATTATACACAAAGTAGACATATTTGGGTTGTTCAAAATAGGGTGGGATTTTTCTCACAGCTATACATATATCTATAATATACACTATAGCTTATTATAAAAATGGAATAGATAGTAGACTAGTAGAAAATAAACATTGTAATTATAAGTGAGAAACGTAGATTATTGTAATTATAAAGTGTACCTACCATTCGTATACTTCGACTAGTAGTCACCGCAACTTGTCTCGTTTGAAATAGTTTTTATGGACATCATATTTTTGTAAACAACTTCCTCAGCTTTATAAATAACTAGCTGTGCCAGCGACTTCTTTTTGGGTATCTTAAACCGTTTTCGCAGTGTACGCATCTGAAACTCACAGAGAAAAATTTCGCCCGTTTTGTTCACATTTCCAACTGTATCTTCGCTTCTATTGGTCACAGCGCGTGTTTTAAAGCCTATAGCCTTCCTCGATAAATTATCTAACTAACACAAAAATAATTTTTCAATTCGAATCCGTATTTCCTGAGATTAGCGCGTTCAAACAAACAAATTCTTCAGTTTTATATCTTAGTATAGATATAGATTTGTACTGTACCCACGGCGTCATCCGCGACCTGCCGTTCTTGCGAGTTGGTCTTAAAAGACTACATACACAGTCTTTCAGTTTTCGCATTTATCAAAGGAAATCAAACAGCAGGAGCGAAGAAACCGCGGAAAATGTTGCGTTGCGCGTTGCGTCCGCTGTTAAAACGGTTCAAAATGAAAAAATATATAATAGTGTATAAAATAAATATTATTCTTCTCTAGATAAATGAACAAAAAATCCCGCGACAGTATACGTTTATCTCTTTAGATTGACTCGTTATTAGTATACTTTTTGAATTTTTTAAGGTCCAGTGCACATTCTGAGTTTGTCAGTCAATCCACTTTTCCTTTAACTATTTGTACTAATTACTCGTATTTTTTATTATAGCAATTGGAGAACAACCGCGATGGCAACGCGCTACTATCCTTCCCCCCAAGGTTTGCAAACCTCGGTTATCCAAATTGGATGTAGAGTCACCGACGGATGCATTTTGTGTATCGGCTGAGACCGCTGGAAGTGTAGTAAGTTCAAATAGATTATTATAGTGAACTTTTTTTTTAGATTTAACGTATTGAGACCAGGGCTAGGAATACTTGATGCTGAATTATTAATACCACCTTCAGCTACCACCGTTTCTGATGCTTTGAAACAGCCGTCATCACGGGGAGACTCGAATCAGTTGCGATTTAAACCGTTAGTGTTTTATTGAAATGAGTACTTACTACTCGCGTGAATTACAGGCATAATTATTTCATTTTCTAAAATAGTTGGATTCGATGGGGTTCTAAACTACGATCCACGATTAGCCAGATTGCTACCACTACACCCGTCAATCCTCGAGTCCTTATTATGCATTGAAGTGTACGAACCAATACACCAACGTGAAACTTATTTAAGATTTAATATTTTAAATACTGTCTATAGTTTACGCGAGTAGTACACATTTAAATAAAACACTTTAACGGTTTAAAACGCGATATATTAGTTAAACTTATTTGAAAATGATTTTTAACTTCGACCCGACGTTTCGGATGCTTTGCAGCAGCCGTGGTCACGGGGAGACGTTAAAAATCATTTTCAAATAAGTTTAACTAATATATCGCGTTCTAAACCGTTAGTGTTTTATTTAAATTTAAAAATTATTTTTTATTTTTGCTTAAATCGCTTTTGTTATATTGTAGACTGGCGTGGGCGGTCCTCTTCTATGTACGAACAATGAAAAGCAATACATTGCAGGTGTGGCTGTGTGGCGCGATGGAATCATTCTCACAATACCAGTCTTGGACTGGACAGCTAGAGTTGTGGAGGAAATATTAAACTAACAATTGTTATAAAAACTTTCTTCGATCGACAATACAAGTGGATCCAAAAACTTTGGCCCCTAGAAATTATATAAACTGTGTCTTTCAAAATTGCTTTTTAATACAACATACAAAGTCCAGTTCATTTTTAGTTCACGATTTTGTTTATTTTTTTGTTCTAGTAACATTGTTGATCGCAGGCTTTTAAAGGTCCTTGTTTAGGAGTAATATTGTCTACATGTGTAGTACAAATTTACAAATAATATTCATAAGCCAACATCTTTGATTTAACACATTTGGTAATATGTACCAGACTTATCACATTAAATTGACATGTGTTCTTTGTAATATCCAAAACCACAAAATCCTTACTACTGCGATAGTAACTCTGTCTGTCTGTCTGTTACTCTTTCACGCCAAAACTACTGAGCGGATTTGAATAAAATTTGGTACACATATGGTCTAGACCCTGAGAAAGAACACAGGCTACTTCTTATTGCGAAAAGGGGGTTGTAAGGGGTTAAAAGGGTGAAAGTTTGTATGGAAATTCGTGGTTTGAAGTTAGAACAATGAAACTTTCTTTTTAGGCTTTTTGGAAATAGGAGTGGGAGTGGGAGTTAGAGTAGGACTGATGTGAGGTGAGAGTGTTGCGGCAAAGTAGCACTTGCAACATAGATTGACAACAGCTTAAACAATTAAAAAATTTTGCCCCAAGTCACTATTCCACGCGAACGAAGTCGCGGGCACCGCTAGTGATTAAATATAATTACATACAAAAATTCGTGAATTTTTACACAGCCTGTTTTTTTAAACTTGTAGATGGGGATGTAATTCGCAGTTTTCAATTATTCTGGTTCATTCGACGGTATGTAGTGAGAATAGATTTTTTTTTGTAAAAGACCCACGCCTAAACTACTAGACTATTGTACATACAAACACAATAAAACGCATGTTCGTTCAAGATGATTTATTCATTCAAACATGTTTTATGAGCAACGTCTACGATATCCATAAAAAACTTACTTTACGAATTTCGCTATTACAATAAGAATTGAAATAAATAAAATCATAAGAGGCATTTTTCACTTATAGGAACTAAAATATACTTACTATTCACGAACAATGGGAATGTCGAGATCCGAGCTACACTTATGTGACAAGAGAGAGCGCCGATATCAATACGAATAAATTTCAAAAACGGCCGACCGACTGCAAAAGAATACAATTTACATACCGCGCTCTCGACGTCGAACACAAAGATTTAATGTAAAATACCACCAAAAATATACTCTATATTTATATACGCATTTTGTACAAACACATACATAATACGCTAACGTTTACGAAATCTTTGGTGTCCAACTTTATGTGGATACTTAAATATACATAGAACATAAACAAGTCTTCTAGTAACAGCCCGCGTAACACTGAAGTGACAAAATTTAACACTATGCAAAAACATAACTAATTGTACTAAATTAAATTCTTTCTTCTAGGACGTAACGCCGTACACCATAGCGTCTACAATACTAGATAATTAAATTATAATACTTCTTCAAAGTGTTTATACTGGTTTCATTAAATGAATACGACTGGCAAAAATGATTATCACTTAAGAATTATAATTTATACAACACAGCTACCCAGACTAAACTAAAACAGCATGGAATTTATAAAGGACTGCAACCAATCAACGAGTGAAACCGATAAGAACAATTTTAGTAAAATGAGGGTAGTGTGAAAAAAGTCAAGATCACAACAAAATCACATATTAGACTCATGCAATGACGAGAGGTTCGTCGTCCGAGAACCCGTGAATTGGGGGTACGTCATCGTCTTCTGAAATAAAATGAGAGAAATGGTTAATAATAAATTATATAATCTATGAAGATTAAAAAAAAAACGATGACACAAGCGAGGCTTGACTCTGTTTAGCTGACGTGGTAGCTCATGGTACTCTTACTAACCCGAACCCCTGCGTGTCTCGTTTGTTAAACATTACTTTAATTGCAAATAGTCCTGGGAGTGCATCGAAACTGTCTAGTTTATAACGATTAGATTTTTTAATAACAAAAAAGTACAGACTAGCATAGAATTCCCTTTTTGGAAGGGAAATTACCCAACTTATAAAACACCATATCAAGGTACGCTGTCTATCAGTGTATGGTGGTTCATAAACCAGGTGGTATTTCGGTATTCTTATTAAAAAGCAGATTTAACAGACGTTATCTATCATGTTTCAGAAAAACTATTATTTTATTTTAAAAACATGTTGGGCCTGGTGGAATCGAATCCATCATTTGAGATCAAGAGTATTTTAATGAGTGTACAGTAAATGAGATTTTACCATGATCGATAGTGGCCTGCCCGCGACGGCTATCATATCTTGGAGTAGCCGCTAGGCGTAAGAACGATCTGTTCAAACGCCTATTGCGTAGGACCACGTGTAGTAGGGCTCCGCCTAGTGCTACAGCCGCGATGCACGCCGCAGCTGCCCCCCACCACACCGCGCCCATAGCACTGGATACTTCCTCAGCTTCAGCACCTGGGTGAAAAAAAATGAATACGGATGAATATCTAATTCAAGTCAGATTTAAGACATATAAAAGGTGTTAAAAAACTTATAGTAAACCCGTGACATATTTTCCAACTACCCTCAAGGGTAAGCTCCTGAGATACTGCTGTAATGACGCACTGGTTTAATGTATAAATACAGGCAATCAGCAAAGAAATAATGGTACTATATTAGTATAGGATAATCTATACGGAATTACTGAGATAATATGAAAAATACTGTTGATTTGTATACTTAAATCCCTATGGATTGTATCTGTAATCAAAGAATTAAAGATAAGTCAAATAATAAATGTTTCTAAGCAAACGGGAGGGTTGAAGGAAACACAGAGTTGGATAAACCAGTCCTCTGTAGAGAGCACTATGCTACCATGGTGATTATAATCTATGGATTGAAGAAATTCGATTTGTGTGCGACGCGGTAGGTCAATTGGTTTGAGCGACGGACCGGAACGCATTGGATGCCGAGTCAAGTCCGTCCGTGTCGTCAATTTTTTTTTTTAATGTAAATTTTAATTTAGTTTTGTCAAGTAAGATATTTGTATCTTTTATAAGAATAACATATATTTAAACCTTATACTAGAAACAGTACCTTAACTTATAATAGAAACAGTAGTTTGACATGCAACTTTATTAATTGTATTCTAGCCTCTTATTATAGCATCTGAACAAGATGCGACCTATTTCGGTTTTGGATATTGTCTTATTTATTTTGGTATCAAACGTCCTTTCTTGCAACGTTCTACATTACTAACCCTTAAAACTTAGTGTATGACGTCATAACTCACCTAACATTTCCAGGGTTTGCACTTCGCTGAGGTCACTGTAGTAGCCGTCCTCAGTGATCGTACGTACACTCGCGTACATCGGTCCGCTTGTACCGCTCGGAACGCTCATAAGAAGGGGTGAGAACTCCGTTTCCGCCGTTAACATGTCCTTGCCGGGATGTAGAAGGTCTTCGGGTATCTCCTCGTTGGAAACTATTACTTGGTATTTTGGTCTGAAAAAATACGAAACACCGAGATGTTTTAGAGAATTCTGCGAAAACAATGGCAGCGACGTTATTTGTTCAGAATATAATTATATTTTTACTTGTTGTTATCTATTGAGAAGCAACAGGTAAAAATATAATTATAAAGAAAACAAAAGAAATAAATTAACTGAACGAACTTTAGTACACTCAATTTGTATTAGAAACGACATTTATATGCAAGAAATTATTAAAACTATAAACAGTTGAATGCAACTTTTTCCACGTTTTAAATTGCATAGTTTAATTATATTTGGTCTAGAATTTCTATTAAATTTAAGCAATAATAATAAGAAGTCTTATTATTTTAAAACGTATTTGCAAATTAAATTTATCCTAGTTTTGCAGCTATTTTATTAGTTGTTAAATACTAAAAAGAAGATCAGATAACTTTATATCCGATTTTTGGTCTTAAATCAAAGGTTAGTATAGATCCTTACTTATGTGCATCGTTGTGGTCTGGATGCTCCCAAGACAGCATGATGTGACCGTTGGGTGACAGCCAAGCCACCACGCCGTGAGGAGGTGGTATGATACCAGTTCTGGTGTCTATGCAATGTTTATCTGAGCCGTCGACAGCCGTCTATATGAAATTAGTAATTATAAAAGGTACTATGATACTATATAAGGTAACGTACTGTAATGTCTATGAAATGTTTAATAAATCCTGACTGTACTTACTAATAGGACATTGTTTTTTTTACCTAGACAACAACGCTTGAAATTAAATATACTTTTACGAAATATTTATGGTATATGAATACGAGGAAGGACGAGGGGTCTATGTTTACGTGTACGTGTGTTGTCTTATTTTGGGCGTCAAAATTTGTTTTTGCAAACCTCTTCCTTATCTTTATAAATTATAGCTGTCACCCGCGACATTTGCATCCCGTCGTTCTTGCAAGTTAATCTTGAAAGATAGACATATACTGTCGCGGACATTTTTTAGATCATTCAAAGGGGAACCATTTTCGCAGCGCGCACAACGGAAACTCTCAAAGATGAATACTTTTCCCCAATTGTTCCACATTTCCCACTGTTTCTTCGCTCCTATTGGTCGCAACGTGTTATAGCCTTCGAAATACTCTAAGCAACACAAAATAATTTTTCAATTCGAACCAATAGTTTCTGATATTAGCGCATTCAAACGAACTCTTCAGCTTTATATTACATAATAATAACAACATTATTACATAACAATAATAAAAACAGCTTACCCGAATACAGATGTGGTATCTCCCACCGCGGGGCACTTGCACCATTGAGTGAGTGAGCGAAACATTACTGCTTGGATCCAGTTCGTAGCGACTCGAAACGTTACGAGTCATCTCCGTTATCTCCAACTACATAAAACAACATTATAGGCATATTAAAAAGCTCTTATAGATATTTAAAATATAATTTCTAAAGCTATTGGTACCATACATGTGTTTACAATGTTTGTTTCCATATGTGTGTAAAGTTAAATTTACCTTCATTTAAGATATACATCATAGCCGCATATTTATTATATATTTTAACTACACCCCGTAACCACGACCGTTGCAAAAAGAGACACCTGGCGTCGTTAAAATAAGTTATTTAATACATTTCGCGTCTAAAATCGTTGACAGTGTTTTATTTCAATGTACTACTACCGTAAACTACAGACACTACTTAACCCTGACTTATAACCTCACTTATAGACGTAAAAAAATAAAATAGAAGTGACGAAATATGTTCTTACAATTGTTTAAATTCGTTTGTTCTTTAGATAAAAGTTATTAATTTAAAAACCACATCGATCACATACATTTTGAACCAATATCCTCGACATTAAAACTTACCCTATAGGCAACCGGTTCACGTATGACATCACAATTGGCTCTCCATTTAATCTGCATCTCTAATTTCTTCTCATCGTAGTCGACGTGAAGATCTTTGATTGGAGCTCTTTAAAATAAAAACAAACTTAATGAAACGATTTTTGTTTTATTGCGGGTAGTTCTAAAAAATTTTGTGGACTTAAATTCAGATAACATTATTGAGGTAAAGCTATATTTTTTTTAATTTAATAGTTTTGGATACATACTTATCATTTTCCCTGGTGATAATCTCTTTAACCGGAGCTAGTGGTCCACCTCGCAAACCCGCTGTGAATAGGTAGCTCTCGCAAGCATTAAGACCATCTATGGTTATGCCTGTGTTCTTCGTTATTATTTTCGTATCTGTGAAAGAGAGGAAAACCATCATTTGTCTTATTCTAGGCTAGACTTTCAGAATGACTTCATTAAGGCAATGCCTTTTAAAGCACTATGTATAATTGATTTATATTGAAATTCTGTCCGAGGCACGAATCATTGCCGCAGATGAAAAAGTGATTTCAGTCTGTGGATTTCTTAATATCCAAAGCCAAAATAGGTTGCCATCCATTTAAGATGTTGTATGGCTGTGGTATATCACCTACCATCGAGTGAACCCCGTGCTTATCTGCGCTCTTCTATCATAAAACTACGTACCATTGACCATTTCGCTGGGGAATATTTTGAAATTGGCAATATTGGTGTAGTGCACTTCATATTCGAGATCGTTGTTCTTGTAGCGGTCCTGCGTGGGCGGAGACCAGGTCAGCTGCACTGAGTTGCCCTTTTCCTTCAACAGCATTGCGGTTACGTTCAGGGTCTCGTCGGGTATTCCCCTTATGGGTAGAGGTAGGGTAAACGGTTCGCCGATGATGTTGTCTTTGTATGCCTTGATGTCCACATAGATGAGCGCACCCGGCGGGAGGTTAGTCACTGAAAGATAATATGAAGTATATATTAAGTTTGGTATGTGAAAAGCAAACTTACTGTTATTTTAAGAATAAATGCTTTGGTCTCTAAAATGTAACTACTAAGACTAACAAATACAACCTGACTTACAATTAACAGTGTAGGGTTTAATTATTTTTTTTCATTTTACTTTTTCCATATTTCACGTGATGACGTTTTAATACAACTTAAAAAATCCATTTAGATTGATATTGACGGCATGAACGGGTTTTTTTAATCAAAAAAGATTTTTTTAATAAAATTATTAAGTAATCGAGTAAATGTATAAATGTCTAAAACAATCTACATTTTTTTTGTTTTTAAAACTCCTATACTCAGTTCCTTGTACAGCCCCGTTTTCTCTAACTTTTTTATATTTTATCTTGCTTGAATTTGATCGCTTTCGAGTGATAAGGCCTATTTGACTGTATCCTAGCGTATGAGTATATTTTATCCTATTGATATTTAAAGGATAAAAGTGGAAAGATATACTTTACGAATGGCGCCGACTGTAGAACATTAGACAAATAATTATAATTATTAATTAAAAAGTAAACATGACACAGGCAGTACTTGATCTGTGATCAGCGGTCAGTGCTGTTTGAGGTACCTTGTCTGGCCCCGTTCTCATCGCATTATTTTCGGGCAATGAAAGTTTTTCTTTCTATGCGTATTTGTATAATACTGATTTATGTATTATTTGACACTCACATGTAATATTATTCAACTTGGTCCTAACGGGCTCCGGGTTCGCGTAGTTTCTTGGCAGACGTGTTGCGACTATATAACCTTCGACTCCCCTCAATTTGTGCCACTGCAGGGAGACTGTGGTGTCGTTGATACGGGCGAGACTCACGTTCACTATCTCATCCACGTCACCCACATCGTCGAACACAAGATACGCTATCTCCGTTGAGTTAGAAGTGAACGCGTTGTTCGATGCTGTTACCTGTTAAATATACATCTTAAGTTAGATTTAAAGTAAGTATGGTTTATTAAAAGAAATCAGCAATGAAAATTTTTAAAATGCTCAAAACAAGTCTTAGAAGATATTAAAATTAAACTTTGCGATAAAAGGAGTTGCCAGTTCTTCTCGTTTGTTCTACGCCCTTGATTTGACTGGTAGTAAATATAAATTTAAAGTCCTTAGTTTTAAGCAGTTTTGACTTTCACAAGTATTCTTACGTTAATAAATGATTGTTGACTTTGACTTACAAATTTTTTTGCAACTAATGTGCAACCTAAAATTTATAATTTTCACGTTTTTTTATTGATTTTCAAAATATTATATTTATTACAAAATACAGTTTTCGTTATTCATTTTTCAAATTCCTATCATAACTTCGATAATCGATCGATAATTTATGCATATTGTTTTACGGAATGTTATTAATATTTCGATTCGCCGCATAATTCCGTTCTTGTTTCCATGGTAAAAGACTTAAATCAAATTTAAAAAAAACAGCTATTCATGGCCACAATTTTAACGCATAAAATGTATGTAGTGTCAAATAGAAATATATATGAGGCCGCTAGAGGCAGATTAGCCTAACAGCAATTTTATTTTGTTCTTAGGCCACTCTGCCGCCTAGCAGCCTCCTATTTAAAACAGTTTCAATACAAAAATTATAAATAAAAATCATTCATACAATTACTCACCCAGAAAGAATAATTCGTATCCGGCTTGAAGTACGCGTTAAGCGTGTACGTGACTGTAGCGTTAGGTTCTCCTGCGGGCACTATCTTTTCCATGGGAGGTAGTGGAGGTACGTAATACACGGTATAGTGAGTAATCACACCTCTTGGTGTCGCCGGAGGGTCCCAGAGCAGGTTCACTCGGCTGCCGATCATTTGACGAACGGTCAGGCGACGGGGTGGAGATGGCTCTGTTAACAAAATAGAAAAAATAAATTATTGTTTGTTTTACAATTTTTTTTAAGAGTTTATTTTAAGAAAAATATTCTAGTACGTACGATTTTACTTACTATAATAATTTTAATTTAATTTAATTGTAAAGCTTTATATGTAAAGATCTACTGAAATTCTTCAACTTTCTAATACTAGTGAAATTGAATGTAACCATGTAATATCGTACCTCCTTCTCCAGTTGTAGTATTGACGAACTTGTACGAGGCATAGATCTTGTTTGATTTGCTGTCCTTTATGTAGAATGTTACGTTGTATTGTGTATAGGGCTCGAGGTTTGTGAATCTGAAAAATAAATGTATGTATTATATTCAATCACAACTGTGCACAAGAAGGTGGCAAATTCTTGTAACAATTTATATTATTAGTAACAATTACATTAAGTAGCGACAGAACGAAAGATACATTTGACGGGCTCCTTGGTGAAACGGTAGCAACGTATAACTAATAATCAACGGGTAGTACGTTCGAACCCCACCGAGTCCGATATTTTTCTAATCAATACATAATTTTTCTAAAGCATTCTGAACTTTCTCTGGAAATCAGAATATTAAAGTGTGGTAGGAATACCAAAACTCCGTCCGGGCCACGAACTACCGTCCAGAAATAAAAAAGCCTTAGTTTAATTGCGCTTCAGTTTTAGTCAGCGGATTTCCGAATATATTTAACCAAAATAGGTGCATCTTGTTTAGATGTTGCATGTCTGAGGTATTTTATCTATCATTAAGTGACTCCCATCTCCTCTATATAAAAATATATATTTTTTAACTTGAGTGTACTTTATAGTTACTTTAGTTGGATTTACCTGTACACACTGTCATTTATCCATGTCATATTCTTCCAGACATTATCCGATACTTTGGCTATCGAAGGCAAGAAGTTGTACATCACCATTTTCTGCTGAGCCATCCAGCATGAGGTCAAAAAGCTAGTGGAGTTTATGGATGACTGGTCTACGCCAATGCTTAGGTACTGAAATAAATTACATTTTGACATCAAAGATAAGATATTGTGTTTGTGTAGTAAATTGTGTAAGGCTTTCACGGCCACCGTTCACCATATCATCGTCTTTCGGGCTGTTCGGCCAATGTAAGCGAGAAGGGGTTCTCGACGTTTCGCCATCACGTGAGGACGGCATCATCAGGAGATGTTAACTCCTTGATTGCTCGAAGAATTATGTCATAATTCATCATTGTAATCATACTCCTGCTTGTCTGTCCACCTCTATCATAAAAAAATTGTAAAGTTTCATTTTAAACGTTCAATTATTACCTGATAAAGATGGTTAGTGTCCGTACTAGAACAGTTACTTTCATCGCTTCCGTCATAGCACTCGCGACGTCCGTTGCACAACATCGAAGGCCATAAGCATTTTGTTCCATCGTCGCATTCGAAGAACTTTGACGAACAGTTGCCGCGACGTGGGAGACCCTGTACAATAATACGATAAGTAAAAGATTACATTTACAAAAACATTAAAAATAAACCGGTCAAAAAGCTAAATGGTTAAACATATTGCCTAGCATTGCGTTAAGCGCGAGAGGTCCTAGGTTCGAAACCGGGGGAGAGAATAGATTGTTTCGGTCGGACACAAAAGTCAACTTGTCAACTGATCAATTACTTGCCTATAAGTAAAACGGTTCAGTGCAATGGACTCAGAAATGTAGTCGCCCCATGCTCCGCGGTGGGAAACGGGATTTCATTAATAGAAATTTGAAACTCGACAAAAATATTGTCTTAATCTTACTCAAAGTCTTAGTAAACTTCTAAATTAATTCAGCTTTATAATAGTTTAAGATCTAATCTGCATATTTTTAAAAACACACAAAATATTTTTATGATTCTCACCTCTATGCAGTAAGTTTCATCACTTCTATCAGCGCAGTCTATCACTCGATCGCACAGCTTATCAATCTTAACGCATCCGTTTCCGTCACCGCACGGTGTGCTGTCCTTATCGCACTGCGTAAGAGTGGGAGAGACAGTGGTATACGCACAACCGCGTTCGTCTAAGCCGTCCTCGCAGTCTTTAACTGAATCGCAGACCCAGGAGAGAGGTATGCAAACACCTAAAAATAAATTATTAGTGAAAAATAAAAAATTAGAGTAAAATATTATTATATTAATAATATTAAAAGGTGCCCTTTCTGAAGTGAACTCGTTTGGAAATTTACCGAGGTATGAAAAATTGCCAATAAAAATAATTAAAAAGTAAACTAGCTACTTTTTCCGTCTATTTAATGTATTGATTGGTCGAATTAGAATAGGTAAATAATCTGTAATTGATTTTTAGTTTTTAAAAACTGTTTAGCAAAAACCGAATGTTGTGCTTATAAATCAGTTCTTTGAGTGGGTTTTAAACAAAGACTTATAAAATATTGTACTGAATTGATATTTATATTTATGATATTTAACTACCTAATTTTTTTTTTAAATAGTGAAGTTAAAGTATCCTAGGTTACTTATTAAGTAACGCCTATACTAAGGGTAACTGATACGCGTTACGTTACGTTTGTATCGTAGTCTTAAACAGCTAACCTGTTGCGCAAGTGAAATGAGTTTTGCCGCATTGTTGCTTATTCGTGTCCGGTTGCTCAGGAGTGACCGTGCCCGCTCCTGGTTCTACCAAACTGCAGGCTGCTTCATCAGAATTGTCTCCACAGTCATTGATGCCATCGCATCTCCACCTAGAAACAGAATCAAGCGTTTTTATACAATTTCACAGAAAAATATGTCAATATAAGCTATGTATGTTAAATGACATATAATTAAACAGTAGTAATAAGTCAAAACCGTTTACCATAGGGCATAGGACGAAAATATCTTCGACCTCTTTGCCTCACCCGACCGAAACAATTTGATTCCTAGGAACTCGAATGTAGGAGCTTTCGCGTTTAACGCAATGCTAAAAAAGTTTTAATATTGAGCTGTGGAGGCAATGAGCAGCGGAGCAGCTACGCCAGCAAAATACTTGATTGCATATCCACACTCTTCAAATTAATGGCTGCTACCAATGACCTAAAATGTCCTAGCTGATCTAAAATTACACATACCAATAGGGCAGACAATTTCCATTGTGACATTTAAACATCCAGTCAAGACATGAGCCGTTAGTCGGAAAGTCTGGTTTCTCGTTCGGCCGAGGGATCAATTTCGAGTGACCAGTCGACGTACAGTTTTTCTCGTCCGAAGATTCTAGATCCCCACAATCATTTTCACCATCACATACCTATAAATTGATAAGTCTCAGTAATAGGATTATGTAGCCAAAGGATTAAGACGGATACTAAAATTTATTTTGTTATGTGTTAACGCATTGAGAACTCTAAAAACTGTAGCAATCAAAATAAAATAATAACTATACTTTTAAATTACTACGAATATTTGTAAATTAAAAAAATATAATTTTAACTAGCTTAAGCAAAATATAGAAATAATGAAAAAATCATATATATGATCGTTTTGTTAAATACTAAATAATTAACTGATTATTTAGAAAAAAGTATTGTCGCGTGTGAGTTGTAAAACGCTTTGTCTTGGATTGCATAAACAAAGTTCTAAATTCAAAAAATATAGACGTTCCGGTTAAGCACCTATTTTTGTAAAGTTGACAAATTTATATAGACAACACATATGTAAATCAGTAAATATAGTATAAAAATAATCATTTAGCAAATATTAATTTAAAAAAATACCCAGGAGTTATAGATGCATTTTCCACTAGGACAACGGAACATGTACGGTGCACAAGTAGAGTTCAAACATTTATCAAGTGTTTCGTCTTCGCCACTCGGACAGTCGCGTTCACCATCGCAAACCCAAGCATTCGGAATGCAGAGGGCGTTCGAATCGTTACCACACGCGAACACGTTCACACTACAACTCAGGGTGTCGGGAAGCTTTGGTAAGTGGTGCTGGAAATTATAAAGACATAATTTAATTTTCATACACTTATAAATTAAAATCAATTAAGACGTAAATTTATTTAGGTGGAAAAATTGGATTACGCGGACTCGACATAAAAATATCGTGTTTAAGGTCGAGACCTTAAGGACGATATTTTTTCAGAATCATAGTTATTCATTAGTAAGTTTCGCATTTCTAGCACATTGTCTAGTTCTAATTATTATTAAGTTAAATTCTACTCGGGTTGCCTAGAAGAGAAAGCTTATATAAGTACGCCCGGTACACTATATAGTTTTGAAATTGCACAGTGTATCTGTATGTTCTGTTTTTGTGTACCTAAGTGTGGAATAAATAAATAAACTATCATTAGAGCTGATTGCACATTTTTTATCTTTGTCACTTGATAATGTCTTTTAAAGGACACTGCAACGTAACACTGAGAAAATATTCCAAATATTTTAATGTTTTCAAAAGATATAGATTTATAATAATTACCGTGCAATTCCGTTCGTCTGAACCGTCCTTACAGTCATTGTCACCATCGCAAACCCATCTCTTCTCAATGCATTGTCCGTTCTGGCATTGGAATTGTGTGTCTGTACAATTTTGTTTGCCACAGTCTAAAAGATAAATTAATTACGATGTACTTAAGCATTCAATAGTAAATACCTCTTTTTGGTAGAAGGTGCTTCAAGTGTTCTTCAAATAGCACACAACAGGGGAACCCCCTTCAGAAGTTACCAACCTTTTTCATCACTCATATCCGGGCAATCGATATCTCCATCGCACCTCCACTGGGGCATGTAGCAACTGGAATCCGAACAAGCGACCATAGGCGGCTCACAAATGCACCCGGCTTCGTCTGAATTATCTCCACAATCGTCGTTACCATCGCAGCGCCATGTATTTGTCATGCACATACCGTTTTTGCAGGTGAATTCATCCTAAAAAACACGCAAATTGTATTTTTTGTACATGAAGAAATAATTTGAATTTAATTACATATTTTAGTACTTACAGGACCACAAGTTCCATTCAACTTAGGGCAAGTCATATTCGGCGCTGGTTCCAAGCCGTTCGGGCACAAACACTTGCCGTTAACCATCTTAAATCCATCAGGACATAGACAACTAAATTTATTGCCAGGCGCGCCCAAACACAGGTAGTTACAACTGGTGTTCTTGTATGAACAGGCGTTGCTTCCGTGCTGCATGAAATGGGAGAACACCTTCAGGTCCATTAATCCACTGAACGAATCGTTGATCGTGATCACATTGGCCCCCGTATCCTTATCTGCGATAAATATAGACTTGGCTTTCCAATCGTCCCAGTACATTTTGTCCTTCAACACAGCTACCGCGAAAGGATGGAAAACTTTCTCGTCGTGCCACAAAATCCTCCTGAAATATTTCCCCTCTAGGTCAGCACTCGCGATGTAGTCTTCCATTGCATCGACCCAGTAAATTCGCTCTGACATCTGATCTATTGTTATTCCATTTGGCCATTGCACCACTGGATTGGTGAACAGTTTCTTAACGTTAGTTCCGTCCAAGTTTGACCTCGAGACAGATGGGTTCTTCCTATCCCAGTCCGTCCAGAACAGGTACCCGGCCTTCGGGTGTACAGCGATACCTCGTGGTTTGGACAGGACTCGAGAATCAAGGATTGTGGCTCTCATCCTTCCTTGACTGGACAAATCAGTTCTGACTGCTTCTATTTTCTTTCTGGAGCCGTCTACGAAGAACAGAACATTCGATATCCAGTCTAATGCCATCCCTTCTATACTAGCCAAATCTGTATCGACTATTATTTCTTGTTTCTCTCCGTTGTTGAAACACTGGCGGCTGATTTTATCCACTTCTATGTCAGCCCAATAAATGCAGTTGTTTTTCATGTCGAACTCGATAGCGACGATGTTTTGTTGTCCTTTGATAGGAATTATGGTAGAGTTATCGACAAGATTTATTCTTGCGATTTTCTCTCTGAGTGCGACTAATATGAAGCCCGGTGGTTCCTCTAGGGGACAGGGTATTAGGTCAGGTTCGTAGGGTGTGTAATAGGGGGTCATGCAGACATCTCCGTCGATCTTTCTGTAGCCCTTAGTGCGTTTGTAGAAGTGCCCCGGGGCACAGTCCGGTGGAACTGCATAGGGATCGTACTTGGACGACGGTATCGACTGATTGAATATGCATATATTGTTAGAGTTGATAAAGCCATAGTCGCACTCGTAGTCCCGACGGCCGCATTCGCAGCGTTCTTGCCGTACAGCGCGCACGTAGGAAACGCCATTATAACAGTTAGTATGCGGCAGACGTCTTTGGAATATATCTCTTTTTCCAAGAACACAGGACACTGTGGAGTTAGGCGGTGAAGGTGACCAGAACTTATAATCGTCATTGGTACAGTTACGTTCAAAAGCGTTCATTAAATCGATAGTTATAATAATCCATTGATGTTGTTCGTTGGCTGATCCGAACATTGTGAAGGTCGTTGTGTTTTCTCCTGGCTCAGTCATGAGTCCGTATATACGTAGATCATTTTCGTTGAAGCTGCAACCAAATTACGACAGAGATAATAAATCCAGTTATTTTTATACGTACAAACTAACGTTTTAATGTCCAGATACACTAATAATATTATATTTATAGTATTCAACAAATTATTCTTACTGTTATATTAGTATAGAATATTTAAACATTTTTAGCGATTTAAAACGCAAAATATTTAATGTATATTAAAATGTATTTTAACTGCTGTCCCACGATTCGCCGTTTGAACTGTTGAGTGTTTTATTTAAATGTGTACAACTCGTGTAAACTATAGGCAATACTTAAGTATAAAATGTGATAAGAATACTCATACAATTTTTTTTTTAAACATGCAAGAGACTATTCTAAATATATTTAAGTCTACAAAAATATACACCGGGCGAAATATGAGGCGCAAGTTGACACTGAGATATTATAAATAACATTCGTATTACATTTGTTTAGTATAATAACAACTTACTCATACGAATTCCAATCCATGCCTTCATTGGTCGAGTACAGTATTTTCCTGGTTTCGCCCCTCGATTTAAAATATTTTACAGCCACAAGTACACCGCCGTGGTCACCATAGTTAAAGAAATAATAGTCTTTAAGGATCCTCTTCCATGTTAGACCAGCGTCCCGGCTTAGGTATACCCCGGGGATACCTTTAAGAGACTTCCCCATAACCCCGGTCGCCATAATGACGCCGGGAGCCGATTTGGAACTCATGATGCTGGCGGATCTAAAAATAATATAGAGTCGTTAAAACCTCATGAAAATTTGTTAAGCAATATACCATTTGCAAACATTAATATTTTCACATGTTATTGAACATGGTGGCATTATATAAATTAAAAATCGTACGCAAGAGGTGCATGTATCAATAGGTTGAGAAAATTCAACGATGACGTGTAACAAATTGGTTAGAACAACAGCGAAGAACAGTGCCGATGACGGTTCAAATGCCGTGTCGTAAAGTTTATTTGAATCTATATTCGATTTTTAATTTACATCAGCTATATACCCAATTTTTTTCTATAATTCTTTAAAGCCCATATTTAAACACATTACAACTTTGTCTACATTAGAATGACAAAAAGAAACCTTTGTTTTCAGTTACTGCGTTACTGATCTGTTTGGTCTAGACAAGAGCAAATCGTCTTTCAGATGAAAATGGTATCAAATTAAGACCTAGTGGGATCGACAAAAGCACTTGTTTAGACCGAGGAACACAAAAATCCCAAACACATACTGCATGAAAAAGAATAACGGGATAGTATAGCAAGTCTTGTGATTTTTTACAAATGGAAATACAATGTTAAGTGAAATTAGGTTTTCTCTCTGCAGGACATAGAGTAGATACTTCTCTATATCCATTTTACAAGTTGTCGATCAGACTTCTGTGCTCTGCTCGAACAAAGTAAATTTATTTATTCCACTGGGTAAACATAGGGTTTGTTTTGCTTAATCATCGAACCACAGTTAGTTGTGCCACAGAACACATTTTTTTACACTATTACGTAAAAATATTGGAAGATTGGACAACATATATACATGTCTAAAATGTGAGATATTCCTTGCTATTCTACCCGTTACCCAGAAATCCCAGCAATTCAAAACTCGTGCAAATATGATGAAGTGATGATGATGTACGAATACAAACGAAAAACGTAAAGCGACCCATGTTTGCAAATTTGCAAATTACAGTGTACTCCCCCTAGTACAAAGGCAATTTCACATAAAAGCATTCTCTATAATTCGCTTTTCTTTACCTCAAATCGTTATTTATGACATTTCCCAGGGGGCTGTAAAAAATAGTCATAATTTATATATTGTGTATACTGTGCCTTCGTAGGTAAAAAAAAAACAAATTCTGAATAATAAACAAAGTTGGAATTATTATCTCCAATATCTAAAACCGTCACAGTTATTTAGATTAATTCCGCGATGTGATAAGGTTTTGTTTGTTTACTGTATAAACATTACAATTTTATACTTCGCATCTATAATGCATGAAAAACTCCTTATTTATAATAACTCACTTATTATATATATTTGTATATTATTAGCAGTATAAAATAAAAATATAATACATAGTCGATTGATATTTTCAAAGGTATTAAACAAACAAGTGATAGTAATATTGCGGCAGTAAAATCTATATTGCTAAGTTTAGATAAATACTAGGTCAATATGTTATCAAAAACAATGTTGTTGATTTATTGCTATGGAAATAAAGCTTCTTTAAAATATCTCAGGTGATTTATATAAAACACTTTAACGCTTTAAATTTTTTTTTAACTTCGGCCCGACGTTTCGGATGCTTTGCAGAATGTCTCCCCATGACCACGGCTGCTACAAAGCATCCGAAACGTCGGGCCGAAGTTTAAAATCTTCATTAACTAATATATCGCGTTTTAAACTGTTAAAGTGTTTTATTTAATTGTGTACTACTTGCGTAAACTATAGACAGTATCTCAGGTGATTATTAATTTTACTGTTGTACTAAGTCATTGTGGCACAAATGTGCGCAATTTTTATTTTTCAAAACTCCTGCGCAATACCGAAATGTATGTACTATATTGACGTTAAATAACCGCGAAAAACACACACAAAGCCGATAAAAACGATACCCAAAAGGTACCTTAAAAAATCATAAACGTTTTAACATGTCATCGATTCCAAACAAGATTAAATCTAATAGGATTTTCCCGTTTGCAAAACACTTCCACAACACAAGTTACAATACGCACACGGTAAAATCAACCTTAGTTGTACAAACATAGGTGTCATGGTACCACAAAGATATTAGCCCGTTGGAAGATAATATGAGATGATTTAAATAGTGTTGATTAAATTATCCTCACCTTGTAACTGGATATAGTTGGCTGAACTTCTGACATAAGTGCAGGCTGCACGAGTTCTCGATGTGGCAATTGAAGGGTTTACCTGAAATAATTATAAAATTGTTTTATACAGTCTTGTTTTACTCATGTCTTTGTTAACTTATGTCGTCTGTACTATAACTATTTAAAGACGCGCAATATACAATACCGACGTTCGTGTGACCACAGATGCTAAAACATCCCAAATGTCGGGTCATATTTAAATATAGGATAGATTATTTTTTAAACCTTACTAGACTATTAAAATTGTTATATTTAATAGTTTCGTTAGTTATAAAGAAACTACAAAACTTTCCAATAAATATAAAAATCATTGCAAGGAATGTCATTTATATTGCTTTAAGCCTAATGTCTGTATGTTTTATTTCTAGTTAGAGTTTTTCTCGTCTAGAAATTAAAAAAGGATTTCCATTTTCTTTAAATTTGATGTAAAAGACTACAAAAACAATACTAATCCTGTTGATAATTTCACTATCAAATAACCTATCACTTGACAGTTGATTAATAGACGTGATTTAAAAATGATAAAAGTATAGCATGTTTACTTGTATAGAATTTCTATATTTCTATAAAGTTTGTTGGTAACTTTTTTATAATATAACTAATAACATATTGTATGTGCATTGTAATGATCAAGAAATATAAATAATAAAGTAATCATGGAAAATAACATTATTAAATGCAATTCTGATATACAGCTAAGAACCACTATTATCGATAAGGAAATAAAATAAATAACAAATCTATATTAATATATAAAGCTGAAAAGTTTGTTTGTTTGTTTGAACGCGCTAATCTCAGGAACTACTGGTTCGAATTAAAATACCTTTTTGGGTTGATTAAAAAATTTCCTACTAAATTAAATTCCTAAGATTAGGCGTTTAAACAAACGAACTCTTCAGATTAGAATGGAGATCTATACTCCAAACTAGATGACTTTAAAAATGTTTGAAAAAGTACCTCCAATATGACTTATTGTATATACATACCATGCTCATCTTCTGTGGGAGGTGCAATGGGTGACCAGGTAACCCCATGGTCATATGTGATCAGCGACACCAAATGTTCCGGCTCAACACTCTCAACCAATGATTTTGAGTTTATCTTTGATGCTATATAGATCCCTTTCAGACCTTCTACGCGGTATAGATCTGTGAACGGATCATCAGTTACGTCCCTGAAAAGAATAGATCAGAAGGGGGGTTTAATACGGACATATAAATGACACAAATGGTCCTCAAAATTGCCAGATATTATTTTGAACTATCTGCCCTGGCAAACGTTTTTTTTTTTGCTATATGGAATATTTCGACCAAAACTTGCTTACCATAAAAATTAACTCCTAAGAACCGTTAGGAGTTAATCTTAAGAGGTAGAGACATACTGTATACTGACCTTTTTTATTAATTTATTTAATGTAGGATATTTTTTTATACATAGTGTTTGGGTATCTCGAACCGTTGTCGCAGTGCACGCAACGGAAACCCACAAGATTAATTTTTTTCTAGTTTGTTCTACTTTTGCCACTGTTTCTTCGCTCATTTGGTCGCAGCGTTATGTTATGACCTAAACCCTTCACTAGATAAATGGTTCAACCAACACAAATAGCTAATTTTTAATTCGAAGCATTGAAACAAACATACTCTTCAAATTTGTATAGATAACATTAAAATATCGAATATTATTATTTTTTTAATTATACGCAAGAACTGTACAGAAAGCCGTAAGTTCTTTACTGCATTATACAGCAATATTTTTTTTTTACTTCAATGATAACAAAAAATTATCATTAATTTTGCATTCATCGCATTACGTAGAACAAACATTTGAAAATAAGACATTTTCATCCGAACTAGAAAAAAAAGACAATATTGAATTGGTAACAAAATCTAGTCTTCCAAATACCAATCAAATACCGGTTCATACGGAATACACAAACAACAAATCAAGATTTTTAATTCGACTCGCACGTATTATTACTTTTCCTGTTGAAATTACTATTCTTAATGCGCAAAGCCAGGCTTTTGTATCTTATAGAGATTCTAATTTTATTATTATAGTAGGTATACAAGTAATAATTATATAAGTTTGTTATATAAAATATAAATCCCTACATTTACATTATTAGACTAATACGATAGCGAGGTAATTTTCTTATTTATTTATTTCACACTTCCAAGCTTCTAAGATTTTTATAAGTAGGCAAAAATGTGTTAAACAAAAAAAAAGTTTAGGATAATCTGTTTAATAAACCGCTTTTACGGTATAACGATAAACCAGTGAAAATCGTATCCGAAACCTCGATTGTAAAGTATATATTACGCGTTTTAAACGGTTAAAGATAATATAGTAGAAGTTTCATGTGTACTGATTTAGAGATGAGGAAATATTGAAGAAATAATAAGAAACGAATTCTAGACTTCTCAGAATGACATTAGTAATTGTGCTACAGGAAACGTCAGTAACAATTATACATTAAAATGTTTTGAAAAATCTAAAAATCACGTACTACATCCGCCCCTAAGGAAAAACCATGTATGTTTCATAAAAGGACAGATTAGACTAAAGCCAGATGTATGTATGTATTGAGTGTATATCATGGTCTCTATTACTAAAATATTGTAAGTTTTTAGTGTTATGTCGAGATACTAAGTACAATTTACTATACTGTATACATATACATATATACATACTATACGATATTCTATATATGAGTCCGTTAGAGACAGAGTAGCCTAACTGCAATTTTATGACTTGAGTTATTTATATTTTCAGAGTCTAAAAAAGTTAATCTACAAGAGCACAGTGACTAAAATTTGTTAACTTAATTTTTACACAAATAATAGTACAAATTCACTTTCGCCTAAGTTAATTACGCATTTTATTTCCCTCCTTATTTAAAATCATGTTTTTTGTTATTAGGCCACTCTTGCAGCCTCATATAAATGTATTTATCCAGAAATTAGTAGTGAAACAAAGAACATTACATTTGATAATTACTCAACATTATAAAAAAAAACATAAATAAGTATTGACTTACTCCAGCCAGCTGTTTTTAAAGTTTCCTTCTGGGAAGTAGCACAGAATCTGCTTCAGACTCAAGACAAAATTGTATTTCGTAAAGTTCTTGCTTATTTCGGAGACGTACAGATTCGCTACATTTTCTGTGTGCATGACAGAGACGAAAATACGTTTGTCTGTTACGTCTGCTATATGGAATTTCCTCAGATCCAATTCCGTTTGAAATTCTGCCCTGAAGAACGGACCTCGTCTGTATGAAATGTATAAGTCTAATGTTTTCTGAAAGAAAAAAAGAAGTCTTTTTATTCATTTAAATAAAACACTTTTATCGGTTTAAAACGCGAAATGTAATAGTTAACTTATTTACCATTTTATTTTATGTATGGCCTGACTTTTTGAATGCTTTGCAGAATGACATTTGATATTTTAAACCGTTAAAAGTGTTTTATTGAAGCATATACTACTCGTTATTCATTATCATTCGTAATTCTAGACAATATATAAAACAAGATAAAATTGTAAAATAAGACATATTCAAAGTTACATAATTATATAAATTAAAATTACTGTTGCATGTACAATGCCTAATGTCCAAGGACACTTGAATAAAATGGTCATTATCATAACGCGATGTATAAAAAAGCAAAAAATAATTTCTTGCATACATAATGTACGTAAATGTAAACCCAGTCTAATAAATGCGTTCGAAGGTTATAGACATTATAATGACATATAATTGCTGTATGTTATTGTTTGTTTTCATCAATAAAAGCTTGAAAACAATAACGTCCTTTTTTATTTGTAATTCTTTACCTAGAGATTTTAATTTAATAATTTTGTAAGCTTAGCAAAAATATAGCAGAAAGGACAGTGATTTAAAAGTCTTGTGAGGTAATTTCGAGAATAGTCTGGGCAGAAAGCACACATAAAATTAAATAGCAGGATATCCACTCATGCGCATACATCTACTTAGCTAACAACTATTTCCCTTTCTGCGCACACACGCGTACTTTCAACTATTCTGTGCTTCGTATAGGGATATTTCTTTCTGCTACAAAATCGTAGCGGTATTAAGGTGTAATCAACATCTAACCAAACCAAATACATATCTATACTACTAGATATAGTCTAGATGGTTCAAATGACATTTCGTTAATATCTTTCTATGATAGAAGAGAACAGACTCGCATGAAGTTCACTGGATGGTAGCTGATGTGCTGTCGACCGTTTAGCTTTGGATATTCGGAAATATACAGACTAAAACCGAAATGCGATTATACGGCTTGTTCATATGTGGACGGTGGTTCGTGACCCAGACGGAATGTCGCTATTCTTACCACCCATTTAACATTCAGATTTCCAAACGAAATCCAACACTTAAATAAAACACTTTAACGGTTTAAAACGCGATATATTAGTTCAACTTATTTGAAAATAATTTTTAACTTCGGCCCGACGTTTCGGATGCTTTGCAGCGGCCGTGGTCACGGGGAGACGTAGTTTAAAAAAAATCTAATAAGTTTAACTAATATATCGCGTTTCAAACCGTTAAAGTGTTTTATTTAAATGTGTACTACTCGCGTAAACTATAGACTGTATGTAATCCAATATGTTTCAGTAAAATTAAAGATTGATTAGAAACATGTTAGTCCCAGTGGGGATCGAACTCCCGACCCGTTGATTATCTACAAAGCCCGTCAAAACTTTCGGATCCCTTAGAAGTTAGTGATGTTTAATGATATCAAAGTTAGTGATGTTTAATGATATCAAAGAGACAATACTAACTTTTCTTGTCAACGAAAACTCGTACTAGGGATAAAGATACCTAAGTAGTACAGCATAGTTGAATAAAGAAATGTCAATGACCCTAAATTTTTACACTACATCATACTAAGAGAAACGTTCAAACCAGGTGTTATGATAAATTAAAGCGTTCTTTGGGAAATGTATTATATTCTCGTTCTAAATAGTGACTCATAGTAAACTTGGGTGTTTATTCACTATGTGAATCATAAACATTTACCTACGTTTGAGTTCATTGTTGTGTATGGATATTAAAATTTGAATATGATTTAATGTATAATCTATAGTAAGTAATATATAAAGCTGAAGAGTTTGTTTGTTTGAACGCGCTAATCTCAGGAAGTACTGATTCGAATTGAAAAATCCTTTTTGTGTTGGCAAGAGCATAGGCGATAACAAATTGCGATGTGACTAATGGAAGCGAAGATACAGCGGGAAATGTGAACAAAACCGGGGAAATTTTTCATCTCGTGGGTTTCAGATACGTACGCTGCGAAAACGGTTCAAGACATACAAAAAATATGTATGAAAGAATGATTCCTCTTTAATTGATCTAAAAAAAATCCGCGACACTACATATTGTCAAGATTAACTTGCAAGAATGACGGGACCCAAACGAAGGGTCGCGAGCGACGGGACGCGACCTATGTCGTTGGCAGCTTAAAGTTATATAAATGTAGAGGTTTGCAAAAATAAATTTCGATGCCTAGAACAACTATTCTACGCGGACGAAGTCGCTGACAGAGCTAGTTAAATATAAATTTGTTCATTAAGAACACTAATATTTTGTACTATGACGCTAATTCTGAAAGCGGAGACGATATGGAATAAACGACTTCTTTAAGTTATCAGATTACACTTCAAACGCTTCCATGTTCCTTATCAGTATAAACAAAGGTTGATTATTAGTAATCGAAATAAATATTTATGTACCTGATTAACGTTTTGAAACATTATCGTTTCTTAGACCTTTACTTTCTTGTCCGCCTTGTATGTATAAAATTGCTTAATAACTAGAAAGTCTATTTTAATTTACGGAAAACCACAGACTGAAACCGAAACGCGATTAAACTCGGCGGCTTTTTTATCTATGGACGGTGGTTCGGGACCCGGGCGGAATTTCGATATTCCCACCACCCCGAACATTCGAACCCACGGCCCGATCATGAGCTGTACATTGTTACCATTAGACCAACGATCCCGGCAAATGCTCTGCTGTCTTACTTAAACACCCATAAGCAATCAAATACTATTATTTGGTTTTTGCGTGTAGCAGACGCATTTTTGTGTCTGTTCCACTGATACTTTCGTGATTTAGTTCGCAACGCAAAATTGAATTGTTGGAATCATATTGAGTTGTAAACACACAGGTGGTCTCATAGGAAATAATTCGGACATGTCTGTTGAAACATTATTAAACTCTACTAATTCAACTTGTACACAATATTTAATGGTACTACAGTATATGGTCCTTAATATCTACACAGGAGCGACGGATTGTAAACGGCACAAGCACTCATATTATTCACTTGCCAACCACTTAAATGCGTCAAGTGGAAATTTAGTAGCATCTTCACTGACCCGTTGAAATAGCAGGCCATGATATAATAACAAAAACCAGATCTGTACCTATATTAACATATGGTCACAAATGAAATCTGGTCGTATTAAGCTATGAACATATGTAGGTTTTATCCCAATTGGAGATTTTTTATAGAGAAGGAAAGACAAGTATATGTTTCACTTGAGATGAATAAGATGTCCTGTCGACCTATTTTGGCTTTGGATATTTGGAAAACCGCAAACTAAAGCCGAAACGCGATTAAACTTCATGGCTTTTTCATCTTAGTACGGCATTTCGTTATTCCTACTAATTAAATATCCAGATTTCCAGACATGTTTCAGAAAAACTAAAAATTGATTAGACAAAATGTTGGACCCAGTAGGGATCGAACCCACGACCCTTTGATTATTAGCCATACATTGCTGCCATTAGACCAACGAGCCCGTCAACGGGTTAAGAGCGGAGCGCCACCATGCTCCAATGTGGATACGTGGAGTCTAACGCCTAGATTAGTGGACCGACTTAACACGTTCTCCGAGGAATGGGGTTCATAAAACCAAACTGACAACAGCAACAAAAAGTACATAAAGCAAAATCAGGGCTGTTTTGTTTGTGAAAATTTACAAAATAATTTTTCTTTAGAACCCGGAACCTTGTTCTCTGAATACTAAATATGTACTAGAACAACGATGCACTTCTATCTATTAATTAAAATTCATCGAAGTGAGTTTGTAAAGCAGAAATATCGGTATACAAAGTTTAATATTATGTATTCAAATTTTTTCAATATTTTAAAAACCTTAGATGTTTAAATAATATTATTATTATACGTTATTTTCACGCTAATAAAACAGTAATTAACGCCATATCAAATCAGTGATATTCACGTTTCAACGATTATGTTACTCGGTGTAATAACATGGCATACCTAACGCAAAATATTTTGTATATCCGTTATATTAAGATATTAGAAATATCAACATCAAAATTTTCTCGCAATAAACCTCTAAAAATTGCAATAAAGTTTAGAGTCTTGATAACAATAAGCTCCTTATAACATAGAACAATATGCATATTATTATAACAAGTAATATATGAAAATATATTTTCAAAATTACATTTTGAATGAACAAATTTTACGACACGGGCTAAACTTTAACCAATTGTCCATGTCGTAAAAATTTCTTCAATCTGAAATCGATTTTTAATTTATATAGTGCCATTACGTACAACATCATATTAAAAAGATTAAATTTGACACGATAAATCTCTATATTTACGAAAAATGCCTTTTGGTTTTGTTATAGTTTATACTATACCAAAAGATTAACTGTAACGCCCATTAACGCCCATACATAATTCAATTGTGCATTATTACTAAGTATTACATCAACTGCGACCTCTGACCTAAAAGGATACCTCATAATAAAGTTATTGATGCAGCGGATGTGAATAATACGTTTATCAGAGGGAATTATTATCGCTTACTTAAGAGTGCATTGAAACTAAGACAATACGCAAGAATGATACAGGCGTACAGATCATGACTGCCAAGTTAAAAAAAAATATCCCGGTAATGTATAAAGATCTACAACTCCGTCGAAAATACAATTTTAAGGTTCCCTACGGTCAACGGATAAAAAGTCGGTTCGAGTCGGACCTCCTGCGAATGGTTCCCTACCATTGAGTATTTTTTTTGTAATTTCAAGTACCTGTTACGATATATTGCTTTCGAGCTAAAGAAAGACAAAAAAATATAGTTTTTTGCATAAAACCGCAGGGAAAAACGATATTTTTTTGTTAAGAGATTATTTTATTATTATTTTAGCATACATTCAACTGAGCATTTCGTCCATATTTTAAGTGCTAACGTATTGTCACTATTTATTCGTGGAAAGCCCCCTTAAAAATTTATTTGATTTTATTTTCAAGAAAAAAAGACTACGGCAATCAAGGCATTAAAAAGAGGAATTATTCGGTAACGCTAGAGTAACATTAAAGTCTATTTAAAAAAATAATGTGGTATTTAAAATATATTTTTATGTTAATGTGGCCCATCGTTATGAACGATTTCTAATATCCTTTAGAACATTAGGGACTGTTGCCAATTTTATGGCCCAAACGTTTCACTGATCGGTTGTATGCAGACTGCTGTAAACTCTCCGACCGACACAATCTATTGTTTCCTCGCGAATTGAACCCAAAACCTCTATCTAGCAGTTAACACAATGCTAGGCAATCCATTTAATCATATTGATTGATAGACACAGTCAATCATTGTAATATAAAATGTTTTATTATTGTTAATACTTAACTAGTTAATTGTATAAGTTAAATCTTTACATTACTTACAGAATCAACCTCCCTGGTAGCAAACATGAAGTCCCCCTTAATTTGAAAGTCTTTGACATTCTCAAATAGTATTTCAGCGTGACTCATATTGACCGGGTCGTTAACTTTCAGCACTATGCTAGTGTTCCGCGGTAGCCATCGCTCCACATAGAAGACTTTTGGAAACTCTGGCCCAGACGACCAGAAGAAAGATTTCACATAACTCTGGATCAACTTGAATGTTTTTCCGCCATCCGCAGTTAGATACAGCTAAAAAGTATTAAAAAAAATTATTTACTTAAATTCATTTTTGCCTATTGATTCCGCATATTTTTTCCACCTTATTAAAAATAATGTTTTTTGTTATTAGGCCACTCCGCCTCTAGCAGCCTCATATATGAATTGAAATCAGAACTTGGTAAATGATTTAAAAATATATTGATTTTCATTTGCTTTAAAGAAATGTGTTAATTTCTTTTGTGACCTCCAAGTTACTAGAATATGCAAATGCTAACAGTTACTAGACAACAATGCCTTATAGCTCAAGTACAGATAACACACTTATCTTTTATTCATGCTACACAACCAAGTATAACACCCAGTTACTTGGTAATTTTATAATACTGACAGTCACATACACTTTCTACATACTAAATGACCAGTCTACAAAAAAAAAACAAAAATCTCACTGGCCTATTTAATTTACTTAAAACTATAATTCTATCAACCTGCAAAGAGTATACTCACATTTCTGCTTGAATTAGTTTTATCCAATATAACAAATCTAACAGGAAACTCCTCATCAAAGGCCAATTCGTTGGGATGAAAGGACAAGTCAGTTCTATGTATAGTGTGGCCATTGTCGTTTGTTGTGTACAATTTCATATTTGTTGAGTCAATGAAGACACACTAAAAAATTACATATATTGCGTATTTAAATTGATAGTGTACATACAGTATTGTAAAGCAACAGGTCAAAGTTGCTAAGCACAAGAAAATCCGGGTTCAAATCTCAGTGAATACATTGTTTCAGTCATGGGCACAGAAATCAATCAAGAACCTGCGTGTAAATAAAATCCAACAGTGAAATTGACACTAATAATTTGTCCTATCCCCCACAAGGGAAAACAGGATTTCACATAACAAATGTGACAAAAATAATATTAAATTAAAAACCTAAAACTTTCACAAGTATTTCATAACTTAATTTCAATTAGACATAGAATTTAAAAACATTCTTTCAGTCCCACTATGTGAAACTTTCAAATATCTCTCAGAATTATATTAGAGTCAACTTTCTATTCTTGAATTATTAGCTGAAGCATGGTTTTAAATGCTGATCAGAGATCTTGTACATTTTGTTTAAATATCATTACTCTAAATAAAAACTTTCGATTTAAATGTCACCTTTGCTTATGTTATTGGTTCATTGACCTTGTTTACCTATCATCAAAAACTCATCATTCATATTATGTGACAAGTCTTTGTTCTATGTAGGACAAGAGTACAGGCTTGAGTCATGTGATAAATAATAACAATTAACAGTAATTTTATCAAGTAACAATTATGTACACAGAAAAAATATATAATCAAAACAAACATTATTTAACAAAGTTCATTACCATTATTTGTTTCACAAGCATAAATTAAATAAGTACAAAACTTACAAATTCTGGATATTTTGGATGGTTGAAAAATTTATCCAACTGTGCATATCCACTATCTGGTTCATTGCTGAGTCTAAAGTTTTCTGTTTTATTGCTGAAGTTCTTTCCATAATCATAGGAGATATATAATGCAGACGGTGAAATAGTGCCCTTGTTTCTAGGACTTGAATCCCTTGCCAAGCAAATGATAACATTGGATCCCTCTCCAACCCAATGCACCATTAGTTGTTGATGACTGTCTTTAAGGTGTGTTGTCTAAAAAAAGTGCATGATATTAAAAACAGGCAAAAAAATTTGGCACTAAAATCAGTACTGCAAAGATTTTCAAAACATTTATTTATTATGGTACAAAGGTAAATAGCAAAATGCTAAGTCATGTTATGATAAAAATAGTAAAAGTACGCTTCGATGCAACGAGAAAGTATTAATATATCTTGGCGCGCATTGAAAAACTATAATAATTTTGAATCTGTGAAACACGGAAGGGGAGTCGGTAATTGAATTTAATAAGGAAATGCTGTGTTACCCATGTACTGATGTTTTTCTCTATAGGCGTTGTATTTAGCGTTGCATCTCTCTTGATTCTATCATAAACAGCGGTTTCTATATTTGCGTCGTCTTTGTTTATTGTAATTATTTTACGGGGACTATTCGGGTCTTGTGCCACGTACAATGTCTTGCCCGAAGATACATAGTCACAAGTCACAGTAGTACAAAATATTATATAAATCACCGAAATAACACTCAAAAAATGTCCTAAAGCCGTAAACATTTTGTCATCACTATAAATTGTCAGTCATCCAATCACAAAAACAATTTTATCACAACTGCGGTCTTCAAGTTTCAACTGCATCCGCAATATTACAAATTGTACAAATACAAAATAAAATAGTGTGTCAGTTTGACTTGACAGTTGACACTTTACTCATTTGATAGCGAGGAGACTGTTTGGCTATGTTGGTCTGTGGGAAAAAAAATATTTTTAAATATTATATACCAAATGTTTTTTTTTTTTTGTCGGTCCTAATAGCCTACCATCCCCGGCAGCATTGCTCCGGGGCCGAGGAGGTGAGAGAACCTTATACTAACCGAAAGCGGCGCTTATGGTCTACGCCAGGAAATATACCAAATGTTAGCTGACTGGGAAAATGATTTTTTGCCATACGAAGTATTTTAACCAAAATTTGATTACCATAAAAACGGATCTTGTTCTTGGGTTAATATTAAATGATAGACATAAACTGACGAGGACATTTTTGTTGGTTATTTAAAGAGGAATCATACTTTCATACATATATTTGGGTAAATGTGGTGATATGAAACCTTTTTACTCATTCACATTTTATCATCGTTTTCTATATATTATCTATTAATATCACATCTTTCATTATTGTAAAATTCTATACCTATTATAACTATGTCGAATTTTGTTTATTAAAACCTTTCTAAAGGTTTTGTCTTATTATTTCCGTATCTTGAACTTTTTTCGCAGCGTACGCATCGGAAACCCACAGATAAATAGTTTTCCCCGTTATTTTCACATTTCTTCGCTCCTATTAGTCACATCGCGATATTTTATAGCCTCCCCCTAGATAAATGCTCTAACCAAAACAAAAATATTTTTTCTAATCAAACTAGTCCTTGAGATTACATTCAAACAGAGATATGAAAAGGATTTCTTTAATGCAACTTCATTTTAAAAAGAGATTATTTAAAAGGAAATAAAAGATATATTTTTTAAAGTTTATTAAATAAATTTACAGAACGATGACTTGTTGCTTAGCCTGTTGTTTGGCCTTAAGGCGAACTTGTGCGGCGATTCTGTCAAGGTCACGTCTTCCCTGAACTGTGAGGACGCGGCCACCGTCTTGTACCTTCTCCACAAGCTTCAGTGATTCTAGGGCTTGTAGAGCTTTACGGGCAATACTTCCAGATGATCTTAAAAAAGGCAAACAAATGCATATTAATAAAAAAAAGATATATTATAAAATAACTAACAATCTATCCTAAAAATAAAATAATAACAATTCATTACAATTAGTTATATTTCATTTTTATAACTTGTTGGATTCACCAGTTACAAATACTTATTTCGTCAGACATATAAAATAATAATGAATTTTGTACTAGTAAGACAATATACCACAATATAACTATTATATGATTAGATGTAGTAATTATATTATAATTAAATTGTAGTTACCTGCAGAAATGTGAAGGAGTAACTCCATTGCGTTTGCGACCACCAAAGATCTTAGTGACAGTCTTAACTCCAACAGGTGACCTGATGTATATGTGACGCAGTACAGCAGCACACCTCACATAGAACCAGTCAGGGTCATAAGGAGCAAGCTCCTTAAAGCGAGCAGTCTTAACTAAATCCATGTGTTCAGGTAGCTTTATCTTACCAATTCTGAAAATTAAATATTTTATAAGTATGATACTACAAGAATTTGTTAAGAACAATGTTGTAATAATCTATTAACATTAGAAAAATACCAATACAAGTATGTGTAAAAATTTAACTGTTATAATTGATTGCTAAAACATTTCAACCTATTAACATCTCATGTTTTATAGCGGTGCTGGTTTGGGGGTACTTATAAAAGGAACCGGTGACGATAATTTTACCAACACTTTAACATGTTCTGCATGATATAGGTTGTTGCCACTAGCTGCAGAGTTTGGACTCAGGTATTAGGAAAAAAAGTAACTTTTTGTCTTTAAACCTCATAATCAACAGTCAAGTATACTAACATCAAGTAGTGCTGGATAACCTGTAAAAACTATTATGAGTAAAAAACTTACTTCTTCAAATGGAAGGCAAGGGTCTTGACAACCTTGTCTTGTTCAACATCTTTCAAAGTAACGGACCTCATCTAAAAAGGAAATTCAAATTTATTCGTTTATTTAACTGAGTTTATACTTATTTTAATTTAATTTATTAACAAAGTTGAAAGAAGCTTTTAAGTTTTCTATTAAGGCAAAAATATCTTCATTACTTATTATTAAAAATCGTAAAAATATTTTCAGTTAGATTAAAGTATAGAAGAAAATGGATATAAAACACGATTATGTTTCGTTTTGTAAAAAGTGAGACACAACGTGAGACGACGCAGCCATATCTCTGCGTGATTTGCTTAAGGTTAGAATTATTTACTGTTTTGTTGTTTATACAGACGAACGATGTTAAAAATTTTACCTTCGACGTTATAAATCTATTAACTAAATCACTTAAAGCTTATTTCAACGTATATTTTACTAATATACCATGCGGTTTTAGTATAATATTAACCTTGCCTCACGTTGGCAACAGGAAGAAAGACAGCTAAAGGAAATTAAATTTTGAAGTATGATTCATGTCAATTGTTATAGTGAAATAAACTACATGCGGTTTATATCCTGTAGAAAATATGTTAATTGTCTTAACTCCTTATAGGCTGTGGTCGTAGTCGATGGTATAATAAAAAATTATTATTTGTGGATGTATGTTTACTGTCATTATTTAGAAAATGGCGGCGAAATCAAGTTCTCAGAATCGAGAAGGTAAGAATATTATTGTTTTCGAGATTCATAACTATTATATTTATTGAAACAATAGATATGTTAATACTTTAGAAAATGCGTTTTCCTAAAATTATGTATCTTATTCTTACTGTATGACTGGATCCGTACTAAGAATAAATCATTGTTGTAGGACAAACATCTGATGATATTCCTTTGACATCTTTAGAAGAGAGTCTTTTAAGTTTTGAAAAATTAGACCGAGCTTCACCAGAGTTATGGCCGGAACAGAGTAAGTTAATAACAAATGTATTCAGCTCAATATTACAATATGTCTCCATAAGTTTTCACTGATAAGAGATTATTTGAAAGTGGCGGGTGTTGCGCAGTGATATTGTGAGTTGTCAATTCTCCCACCATCCCGTTGGTTGTTTTGGCATTTTAGTGCGTAACGATCGAATTTTAAACATTTAATTTAAAATGGGTGATAACGGTAACTGTACTATCAAAGAGGATAATTCCGAATATTCTAATAATTCTTTCGTAGTTCCTGGAGTATCCGAGTTTGCACCATCGCAAAACCCAAATCAATCACCACCCTCGTGGAATAAGGGACTCACGAAAGAAGATATGAACTACATTCAGCGTAAGAATATTTTAAACATACTTGCGCCTTATAATATTCATTAGAATGCATATCAACTTTTATTTCTCATACCTATAACCAAAAAATATAAATATATATAAAGTAAAGTATTCAGTTAAGTGTTGTAACGAATAGAATTTGACCCACATTTGGTATGCTGTATTATAAAGAGATTTCAACCTCTTTGGAATAGTTTTTTTTATTTTATACTTACAGAATTGGGATCCTTGACAACAATTGGTCTCATAATGGAAGTAAAAAAATTGCATGACATTGCATACCAATTAGGCTTGGAAGAAGCAAAGGAAATGACTAGAGGCAAATATTTGAACATATTTTCACGGAGAAATAGACAGTGAATGACATCATAAATGTGATTGTTGTTAAATAGTTAGATTTTATTATATTAAAGTATTAGGTAAACATATGAGTCAATAACTTATTGTATCAAAAGTTTCTATTTTTATGTTGTTGATAATGCAAAGGATACTGAAATTATTTTACCTACTCAATAGTGTTCAGTTAAAATTTGTCATTGTAGTCAGCATGGCTCAGTGTTTAAATATATTTATGCTATATTCTGTGTATAAATAGTTTTATCTTTGTTATAATTAAGAAATAAATACAACATGTGGAAAATATTTTGCATTTTATTGAACCTATTGAAGAAGTTACATTCTATCAATAAATCTTATTTTAAGTGGCTTGCTCGGCTTGGATATAAAGCGTCGAGTTGGTTGCACATCACCATGATGGTATTCCAACATATACTTCTGCAATACCTGTGTGATGGAGAATTGATGTTAATTTATTATAGTCGCATGTAAGATGCTAGCATGGGGCAGAAATTTTATAAAATATATGATCAAATTCTAGACTTGTCATACTAAACTATTCATTTTGGTATTTCCTTACGGTAACAGAACATTTGGCAGTCCACTCAATGATGCCATGGGGGTGGTTGTTAAAACACATCTTACCTTAATAGTTAGTAAGGACAGCATAGATTCAGCAATATTTTGTCCCAGACATTTTCTAGCTCCAAACCCAAAGGGGATTGAAGCAAATGCGTGGTAATCATAAACACCAGTTCTTAGCCACCTGTCTGGATCGAACTTTTGAGCATCTTCATAGTTGCATTCTTTCAATGCTGCATCTTGAGTTGACATTATGATCAAGGTTCCTCTTGGAATACTAAATATTGAAATCAGTGTACCTAAGTTTTAGTTACTTACTTTCAAGAAAATATTTTTTGTACTAAATAGTAGCACTTACTTATATCTATCCAGTGTTATATTCTTAGGAAGAATTCTTGTTAGAAGAGGAATAGGTGGAACAATTCTATCAAATTAAATATAATTATTATTTCTAAATTACCTGATTAATCAATTAGTAAATCATCTAACAGGAGACATTACCTCAAAGTTTCCTTTATACAAGCCTGAAGATAAGGAGTTTTATCTTTAAGATTTGACATGTTATCTACTTGTGTGGTATACAATTTTGCTACTTCTTGATAGAGGGTAGACTGAACCTTATGATTTCTTGCAATATAATATAATAGGTAGGACATTGAAGATGCAACCTGTAACAAAACAGCGGGGAATATAACAGCAGGATTTATCACAACATACAGGGCTGAATTTAGGGAAGAGTTGCCCCGGGGCCTCCACAATAGGTGGGCCCCGACGATAGTGATTTTATACATGTATAGTTAATTTGTAATTTTTGCTTCTATGTTAATGTTTGTACATACCTACTAAAAGAAAGTATTTGGTTTCCCAGTATATTATTTATTGAAGAAATCTTTTGGGACTTTGGCCTTCACTGATTTGTTGTCTATGAAGCAACACTACTAGATAAAATCTAATGAGGTTTTGTGATGTTTACTTCCTAAAGATGTGTTCACAATGATCAAGTTGTACTAACTGTGTTTACTCCAATAATGAGCATGTCCATCAAAATGGTCGAAACGTCTTCTGGCGTTAATTGATTATCGCTGAGCAAAATTGCGTTCAACAAACAGTGTGCATCTATAAACAAAACCAACTGATAATAATATATGCAAATTAATACTGCTCACTTAATACTAATTATAATTTTTAAAAGGCTTTATAAATTGTGGTATCCCACAGAACATAGGAGGTTGATTTTTTTAAAATGTCTTACTTTTCTCATCAGGCTTAGGTGCTGAAAGTTCCCGATCAGCTTCCAGAACTTGTTTTCCGATCAAACTGAAAGTAGAATATTAACTTAATATAACTTAAACATATGAATGAATGCAATTCAAAAGTAATAAATATCGAAGACTCGATAGTCAATAATAGTATCTCGTTAAACGAGCATCATAAGACACTATCGAGCCCACCGGGTTCAAAATGTTTCTCAACTGTTTACAATTTTCCTGACACATCTTTGGACTACATCTAGAAAATCTGGGTAATGAATAGATGGTATGAATATCGAAATTTCGTCCTCAGGTGAATGTTTAATTGATTTTCGGTTTAAGTCTGTGAATTTGCGAATGTGAAAATCCGAAAAAGATAGCGCGTCTTGTTGTGCTGTTACTTAGATGCTTATACAATTTGATAGCGATGAGTAAAAAACACTAACTGATCCAAACTATCGCAATACTTGACGAGCTTGTACCACGCCGGAGTCGTAATGATCTTCCAGACGTGAGGCCCAGTTTCGCATTTGTCCAGCGCGTCTGTCGCCTGCTCGAGGCAATGGTACATCCACGAAACATCGCACTGGCTATACACCACTTCGGTGTCTATCATCGAAAACTGCTTCGAGAATGTCATCATGCCTATAGACAAGTGTCAAAACTGATTTAAGTTTGCTTATGGCTATGGATTGAAAAGCTGAACAAAAATTGATAATAATTTCATAGTGCAGTTGCGTAATTGTTCGATATTCGGACAATTTATTTTCTTTTTTTTCTGATTATTATTATCTAGGGATAAGCATTTTACCTGGATGTATATTTATTTTGTTATCCAGGACCATTACTATGACAGATCAAACACTAATGGTTGTAATTTGAAAACATCTAGATTTTTAATATACCTATATATGTCTGAATGCAAATTCATCCTAAATATATATCTACGAGGCTGACTGTAGCCTGTAGGTATGTACAGAAATCAACTTAATAATTTTTGAAGTATGTTTATTTTCAGTTTGTACCTGTGTGTGTTCTACCCGACCAAAAAAATCCACTAACCCATACAATCGAAAGCCCACTTGTGTATTTCCTTGTAAAGATCCTTAGATATTTCGTCTTGATAGTTCCGCAAGTTGTATATCTTCTGGGTGAATTTATCGCACATTTCAAACACGGAGGTGGCATAGTGTGCGCTCACGGCTTGCATCGGGTTTTCAATAATATTTTTCTGACGAACCCATTCCTGGCCGTGTCTGTGTTTACGAAATTATTTTCGATATTATCCTGGGTCACGAAGATCGGCAGTGCATACAGCGAAGCGAAACTATAAGCTTTATTAAGATTATTATGCAATGTATGCAAATGACCTCGCCTTCGCCGGCGAAGGTGGTTTCGCGGACGATCGGCGCCGGCGCCGGTGGATCGTGTCGTTTTGAGGGTATTTACGGCTTTGGTCGGCTTTGGTCGTCAATATGCCATACGCAATATGCAATACATAGCCATGCACGGTGTAATTGGCGGCCCGGACCACCAGTGGTTTCAGACGCTACTTTGAAGTATTCACCGATGTGAAACTACGAGTTTAGCGCGATTTCGTTACTCGCTAGAGACGGCGTTCGCATCTGCGCGTGTTTGATTCTCTGGTCGGTAACACGTTTGAAGAAATTTCGATATGCTCATGCTCATAGAAAAAATAACTTAACTTAACTTTCTGCAGAATACTTTTTTACTAACTAATGTTGAAACGTTATATCAACAGGGTTATATACAAGACAGAACAGAACTATGATGGTATCCATATAACTACTTATGTGGAGGACTACTCCTGCTTAGTCAATTTGTTTGCACTAATTACTATTAAAGAAAAGGATTTGTTATTTTCTATTGGACTCACCAATAAAAATCCGGGTGATAAGACTATATTAACTAACTGATTAGATAGATCATTCCATCAGATTCCCCGAAAGACCGAACAGGTCTAAATAATAAAGACTTACACAGTATAAATACCACCATACACGTGGTGTCTGTGCTCCATTCTATATTTCTCCAAAGACTCCAAAGTAGACCGAACAGGATAATCTCCTTCCATAGAAAATACCTTCCGTATATGTTCAGGGTGATTGAGGAGTACTATGTCACCACCCACAGGACTTACAAAACGTACTACAGGGCCATATTCATCAAACAGAGTGGATAAATTTCGAATAGATTTCCGATTGCTAATGTAGGAGCCTGTGGAGATACTTATAGCTTATTTTTGAGTATTTATGTCTGCGTTGCTTTGCATGCTGTTCATGTTGAGTTAAGGAAATCCTGGGTTCGAGTTTTAGTTTATCTAGGACATTGGTCAGAAACTAAAGTTGATCAGTGAAATTAATACACGTTTCAGCACCACGTCCTTTATTACTAGCCTTTACAGAGTTCACATTTCATTGAATTTGTTAAACAATAAATAAACCAATATTTTATCGAAAAAATACCGTCTGTCAAGTGTCATCTCTTTTATATAAGAATCGAAAGAGTAGAATTCGAAAAATATATCATAACTTACTAATGTTGAGTCCAAACGTGAGAAGGGCTGCTGTAAATTGTGTACCGATCTCGGATATGTAATATCGCACACTCGATAAATATTTCAATGATTTTGGGCCGGGTACGTCATCAAAGGATAAAACGATAGGATCTTTGTTAGAGAGAACCATCGGTACAATTTTTGGGACCGGGAATACTCCTGTAGCCGATTTATTACTTGACTCAGTTTGCGCTGGATGCTTTGAGTCAACATCGTTAATTTGCAAAGGCTTAGCTGTTTGTAATCTAGCTAGTTGTGCGTGAACTTGACGTTTACCATAAATTCGGATTAACGGCTGATAACACTGAATTTTATTTACCAACATATTAAGCACTTGATTAAGATTAAAACTAGGAAATAGGTCGACAAAATATTCTTTTTCACAATTCTTTAATTGTTGACAATAATGAGACGTAAACAAATGAAGGTCGAGACTAAATTATTTTAAATTTTCGCGGTTTTATTGTGTTTTCATAGATAATATCTTACAACCGGATGTAACACTATAAAGTTGCACAATCGATGTTTGCCAGTAGTTTTGCATAGTTTTATAACAAGTCGATCCACAATTAGTTGTAATTACAAGTTTTATATAAAAAATTATAGTTTTGGATATTATTTATTTGATTAATATTGTATATTGCACAGATATATAATAATGGTATTATCTAAATTGCAGATCCGTGATAATTGACTCTCACGATGTCAACCTTCAGCATACAGCGCTACATTGTGTAATACGAAGAAAAAAGTAAAATAGAAACGTCAAGCGAAACCAAAAGGCAAAATCGAGGAAGACGAAATAAAGGGAATAGATGGCGGGAGTGATCCAGTGTGATAAAAGATTAGTTTTAAAATTCTAGTGTAAAATAATAGTTGTAGAAATGACTAGGTAAATATTTATAGATTTTTATGTAGATTCCAACAAGTGTCTTGTTTTGCACGATTGTTACTTTGATAAAAAGTGTAGCCTTGCCTTACAATTTACAACTCTTGTGGTTACCTCTTAAGTGTGTCTTGGTTATTGCAGAGCTAAAATAGAACTTGGCGATGTCACTCCGCATAATATAAAGCAATTAAAGAAGTTGAATACGGTCGTATTTCCTGTATCTTATAATGACAAATTCTACAAAGACGTTTTGGAGGCTGGCGAACTCGCGAAACTCGCGTACTATAACGATATCGTAGTTGGTGCAGTGTGCTGCAGGATAGACACTTCAGAGAATTCGAGGAGATTGTATATAATGACCCTGGGATGTTTATATCCGTACAGGAGATTAGGCATTGGCTCTCTGATGGTTGAACATGTGCTCAAGTTTGTTGAACACGACGGAAATTTCGATAGTATTTTCCTGTAAGTGCAGCTATATTACCGTATTTAGTTATTCTTTATGAAGGAATTTTCTCTTTGTCATAATGTACCTCATATAACATTTTCCAATTTAGTATATAGGATTATTGAATTTACTCATTTTAATACATATGCAGTCAGATATAGAAAGTGTTGTTAAGGATTATGAGATTAGATATAAAACTGTAAAGCAATATTACTTGATTCTTATGACTTGCAAAGCGAAGTGGTATTTTAAAGTATTGAATAATGATGATTCAGCCTTAACACCAAAGCAACAACATTTTTATAGAAATAAAATTTGCAATCTTGTTCGCTAATATACTTAAATATATTTTATCTGAACTTCAAACATATCCCCGTCTTAGATGCCCTTAAATCTAACTTAGAATGAGTCTTATTTGTGTTTTAGTTTTATCAAAGACAGTGTGAACTGTTTTTTTTTCTAGTATCAACTATACAGAAATGTGTGGAAGTTTGCTTATTTCGTGATAGAGTTAGACACTAATTGATTTGGAATTCTATAATTTTCAGACATGTTCAAGTCAATAACGAGAGTGCAATAGATTTTTACAAGAAATTTGGCTTTGAAGTAGTTGAAACCAAGGAACACTACTACAAAAGAATAGAGCCAGCCGATGCACATGTTTTGCAGAAAACAATCAGACAGACAAATGCGACTGCAGCTCCATTACTCAATGGAAACGTCCCACACGCTAAAACAAACGGGCATGATTGAATGTATTAATGAAACTCAATAAAATCTCAATTTGTAAAGCAAGTGATATCTAAGATAAGATTTGTAAGCAGGTCACCGAAGCCTCAAATTAACATGAAAAAAGGACTGTGCGGTTTTGCAGAGAATGAGGCAATGAAGAGATTGATTTTGTTTTCCCATCAACTTTTCTAAGGATGATTAATTCTCATAAGATTTGAGTTACAACATGTTTTCCAAATTGTATCCAAGAAGCTCTAGCCATTGCTCCAACTAAATTGCTTGTTCCGTTTTTAAATTTTTTGTATTGTGTATATTAATAGGTTTATTAATTAAGTGGAACATTTCTAATCTGTATTATAGTCTTAATTCTCTTTGTTTTATAAATGTAAGTACCTTACAGAAGTTACAGTAGTTTTTGAAAAGGTTATTTTTTGGACATTACAATATATAGCTATCATATTCTTTTGCTGTACACACTTGGTATTCTTAATTTAGGAACTCTTTAAAATAATTATGATTTTGCTCCTTACAGCAATATTGATATTATTTGTTGTGTTTGGACATTTTTCTGAAACTACTGTGTCACTGGGAAGTAAAGTCTTTCTTTCCTTCATACTAAATTATCTGTGAATATCATCTACGACTTAGCATTAGTACAATAAACATGATTAACTAATAAATGTTTTTCAGTGTTACCTTGATTACTTAAGCAATCCTTGATTTCTTTGAAATGAATATTTCAATGCTTTGTCATGGTCACAAGGGAAGTGATAAAAAGGCGTTAGTAACTTTAACTTTATTTATATCATCAACATAAAAAAAACAATGTCTGGCTAGACATTCTATCATTAAATATAATTTTTTTACATGACAACAGATTTTGATTCATAATTGTGTAACCATTTTAATGGATTTCTGAATGCAGGACTTTGTTAAACTGATAAATATCACTTTATAATTTAAGCACACAATACCAACAACTAAGATTAATTAAACAAACATTAAGTACTACAAAATCTCAGATTTTTAAGGTACAATATGAAAGGGCACCTAGATAAAGAGATTATAAACACATTTCTTGGAATGCAGTTTCTAATTATTCATACATTTTGTATGACATTATTATAGACCTATATTTTATTATTGCAAATAGCACTCTTTACATACTAGTTTGAAGCAATCTCTTTTTCATATATCTTTAGAATACTGGTTGCTTTTTAAAGGCATAAGATTTTTCTATCACAGACATCCCTACTAAAATGTATCGTACCTAAGTAGTATATAGTGCTTTATATATGTTTGACTAAACCACAAGCAAACAACAGTATTAACAGCTAAAAAATAAAAAAATGCAAAATTAATATATTTTTTTTTCACATATTAAAGTAATAATGTTAGATAAACTTGTGACATAGTTATTTAATAGGTACAGTATGAATGCAATTATTTCATTATTAGGACATATAATACTAAGACTGGCCTTTGTACTCAGTTTTACACGTGATGAAGGATACGGCGGTTCGATTATAAAAACTATATATATTATAGGTCTCCCCGTGACCACGGCTGCTCCAAAGCATCCGAAACGTCGGGCCGAAGTTAAAAATCATTTTCAAATAAGTTTAACTAAAATATCGTGTTTTAAACCGTTAAAGTGTTTTATTTAAATGTGTACTATTCGCGTAAACTATAGACAGTATTTTATTAAGAAACTATTTTATTTAATGTTACAGTTATATGAATCGAATGATGTTTAACAGGACGGATTTAAGTCAATATTTTAATATAGTGTAGTCGAAAACCGTATCTTTCAAAATGTGCAAAAATTAACCATGTTCACAACAAACTCATGTCCATAGTAAAATTTAAATCTAATTAGTAAAATAAAAATCACAACATCAATATTTAGGCTATTGTTTTAATATTAACATATATGAGGCTGCTAAAGGTAGAGTGGTCTAATAGAAAAAAAACATGATATAAATTATGGAAGAAAATAAAAATGAGCGTAAAAATGATGTAAACAATTTTCAGTCAATGTGTAGATTAACATTTTCAGACTATGAAGATATAAAAAACTAAAATCATAAAACTGCAGATAGGCTACTCTGCCTCTAGCGGCTTCATATATCATGAAGTGAAGGCAATGTCAAAATATACGCTCATAATTATACAGCAAAGATCAACAAAGTTACGTCACAACTATGTCCTTACTGGACTATTGTATACTAAATACATAATTTTGTGTGCAGATCGCACCCTGGTCCTTTTGTAGACAATTTCTTAATACATCTTATCTGTCTTTAAAATCTTGATAGCTATGCAATTTTCTTCTATTATATCTAAAATTGTCATGTGATTAGTTGTGATGTTGTTTAATATTGGTAAATACCAAATTTTCCACCAGTGGCACATCAATAAACTAAAGACGAAGTATTCCACTCGAGATGGTGGAACGTCGAGAACCATAAACTATTTTCTTTTTTCCTAATATTATTAAGAAAATAATAAAATGGACAAATCTTGAACCGGGTGATTAGCTTCCTTAATTCTCATCCTCAATACTAAAGCTGACATTATTATAAATTAGAATATTGTATTAATATAAACATATAGTATAGTAACATACAATAAAAACTGGCACTTACTATTCCATTTAGTACAGATTTTCAGCAATTATATTAACTGTCAACTGTCAAATTGCACCTGTCACAAATGTCACAATCATTAATCGCTATTGACAGATGATGGCTTTGGTTTTATATTAATATCTTCAATCAGGCACCGTTTAATAAAGTCGTAAGTTTGAAAAAGGCCGATTATTTCATTCATAAGTGGTTATCCGACGTGCAGGCTTTGTTTTCTAAATCTAATAATTCTTTTAACCTTTCTATACATTGTAGGGACCCGTCGTTCGCTTCTTTCGCCATCTGAAATTTTTTAATAAACGATTTTATTGCTACATTGTACAATCTATTTTAGTGGGTACGTACGTATCGTACGTATTTGCAATTATTAAAAATCTAGTGTAATTCTTAAACTTTTTTTTGACAGACTGTATTGTTAATTACGTATTTATCGGTTGATTTGCAACCAAGAATGTGGATAGAAAAATATTCACCAATGACAAATTCAAGAATCCATGAGGAAGGCCTTCCAGGACGTCGATTTCAACTTGGTTTCCGAGTCGCTTCAGTTTCTTTGCAAACATCACGCAATCGTCCAGACATGGATCCATATGCACTGTCTATTAAAAATTAATTAAGCTACATACTATACATTTATTTAATACAGACAAGTGTGTACAAGAAAATAAATGTTGCAGCTTTACTGAAAGTGAAATAAGAAACTATATCTAACTAGTTAAATGCCAAATAAAGTGATTTATTATTATTATTATAGCCTCTTACTAATATCCTTAGAGGTGGGAATTTCTGCAACACTTTCTCATCGGCCCAGTAAGGAGACAGCATCGGATCACGCGGCACGCAAAACATAAACTCATCAGATGGACTGCGCGCGATCAACGAGTCCAAATTTGAACGAACCGCCATTCTGAAGTTGAAAATAATCAAAGGACCAATTTTTTATTATATTGCGGGTCACAAAGAATACATTATTACTAAGAATTACTTAAAATTTGACCATAAACATGCTTTCACGTGAAATATTCAATATGGGTGCAGAGTTATTTAATATTTGTACCACAAATATTAAATACCACTGTCGTGTCCCTAAGAATTATCAATATATTATACTTCGCACACCGGCAAAATTATACCATTTAGAAATAAATATACTCTAAATAATATAGATGCTTACTCTTCTTGTGTTGGTCCAGATATAGAGTTCGAATCAGTCATGTAGGCGAAGCGCGAAGACATAGCACCCATAATACCTGTCGCTGCCTCACTAAGTCTGTGAACAAGGTATACTGTTAAAATATATCTGCGAATCTGTGGCACAATATTTTTAAAAATATAACCTCAAATATGACAAGTGTTTGTTGCTCTATTTATAACTCGCATAGCAAAATCTTACTTTCCTATTAGATACAATGATAAACTACAATGGAAATGGTTTCTTATGAATGACACCAATTTATTACAGTAACGCCAAATCATTCAACAAGATAATTATATATAATCGAAGCTTTAACGTTCATTAGAATTTTGTGTACCGTGACTTTATCCTTTTCTTGTCCTTTCCATCATCAACTATTAACGGGGGTTCCCCTACCAACGTACTTGATGTCTCTGACTCGCCTTCCCTAGTGAAATATGGAGAATTATTTTACAATGAGTCAACAATTATTGTGAACAACTAATTTAATTAATATAACTTCAAAACATAAACTACGTAAATAAAGCCAAGAGTTAAAACAAAAATGCTACAAACAAAAAAAAACATAACACAGACATGCAGGAGAGAAATTTCAGTTGAAAAAGATATCACTTATCGTTGAATCTTATTTTTTTTAACTAAAAACTACAGATATAAATTTGTTAACGAGTCTGCATTAATGGTTATTAAAATAAAAAAAGTAAAATTGTAATTTTCTATTGTATGTATTGTAATTTAGGCTTGCTAAGCGCTGATTTTCAGTATATCCCTTATATGTAGTAACAAAGACTGAAACATTGTGGAACGCACTTAACCAATTATAACAATGACATATTTTAGTCGCAGTATGAAAAAATAACTATAACACATTGCGTAGGACTAAATGGAAGTGAGTAAATGTTTCAGCATTGAATTATATAGCGACAGTTATGTACATACATACAGTGGACAGAAGCTCGAACAACAGCTAGCTACCTGCTAGAGATACTATCGTTACCTGTTAGATTGGTTCGGTTTGACGATGGGGAAACGACGCCCCTCGCTATCCGTGTCACTGTCGAACACGTAGCGGTCAAGAAAATCTGATACGTACTGTTGGGACTTGTCCTCCGTCGGGCTAACACCTGGAAGAAACAAAAAACAAGTCGTTTAAAATTATAATACATAAGCATACAATGCTTGCAATGATATTTAAAAAAAAACGTTTAAGTGTTAGGTAGGTGCATAAAATACTAATTTGTGAAATAAGTTTAAATCATATATTTCGCGTTTTAAATTGTTAAAATGTTTTATTTAAATGTGTACTACTGGTGTAAGCTACAGACAGTATTTTACTTACTAGTAAATAAAATCTATAATTCAAAGGGACATGTAGATAAAGAGCCCCATGCCCCATAAGGGAAAACGGGATTTTACATTTGTACGACTAAATATAAGTGTCAAAAAATCGGTCTAACCTGTGGCCGTGTGTTCGCTTTGTAGCGAGGCAGCGCTAATTGTTGTATCAGATGACTTTCTTCTCTCGCTGCCGGACTTATGCGCTTGGAGTTCCGCCAGGTCAGATGGAGACACCTCCTCGAACGATGACGGCCCTTCACTTATAGCCTCTGTATGGGCAAACGTATTATGAAATATGATTAACCTATACTTTCTTAGTTCAGATAAGAGATCTAGGTTATAATTTCTTTGACAAATAAACAGCGAGTATTCAATTTATTATATTAATTTTGAATCTCTTCTAAATTTCTAGAAGCGTCGTACAGGTTGGCGTGGGTCTCTTAGATAGTGTAAAGATTTCTCGCAAAAGAAAAAAAAATAATACACATTTAAAAGAAGTACTAATTCATTTATTAAAAGTGTACTTAAAAATTAACAAAATAAGTACGACGCCGGTTTTTGCCGCTTGGGCGCCCATTAAAATATTTACCAGGCAGGTATTGGGGTAGCTACGCCCCTCTTTCTAGAATTATCTCTTACATTATTATAAAATAAAGGCGTTGCACATATTTCTTAAGAGCCATTAAAATTTCGTACCTTGCGATGTGCTGACTTTAAGAAAACCGTTTCCGTCGACTGGAGTTGTGGCGTTGGACGAAGTTAGTTCTTTATTTGTCCTTTTATCCTCTTTTCCTTTGGAGTTGGGGCTTGCGTAAGCTAAAAAATAACAACAAACTTACATAACTAAATAAGTCTAATACGTGATTATGTAGTCAACTTTTCACATAGTATGTTCAAATAAGTCTACAGCTTACAAGATAGATATTGATATAATAAAGAGAATAAATAGAAGTATTTAAAATTTTTTAACGTAGTATTGTTAAATCTATACTAACAAATAAAGCTGAAGAGTTTGTTTGTTTGAACGCGCTAATCTCAGGAATAACTGGTTCGAATTGAAAAATTATTTAAGTTGATTAGAGCATTTATCGAGAAAGGCTTTAAGCTATACAATATCAAAATGCGATTATCAAAAGCGAAGATACAGAGGGAAATGTGGAAGAAAAAAGTTTCCGTTGTGTACGCTGCGAAAACGGTTCAAACTGCACAAAGATATGTATGAAAGAATAATTTATCTTTAAATTATCTAAAAATGTGCCTGACATTGTATGTCTATCTTTAAAAGTAACAGTTTATATTTATAGTTGTACAGGAGGTTTGCAAAAACAAATGTTGATGCCAAAAATAACTATCATAAACGGACGAAGTCGCTGACGCAGCTAGTTTTTAGGTATATTAATCATAGTTACCTTTTAGGCACCTCATCATGAAACCAAACGGCAGTAAAGGATCCATTAGACACAATAAGCGAGACGGACTTGGTATAAAGCTGACGAGAAGTGGGGCGTATGCCATAAACAAGCCATCTGGCACTCGAATACCACACTCCAAAATCCTCAATATACATCCCGCTAAGAGATTCGCACCAGCTGAGTCTCCGGCGAATACTATTCGTTTTCCTGAAAAATACATTGATCTATATTTAGACGAATAATAAAGGTTTAAAATTTTCCATTCGGTTTATTAATATAACTCTAGTATCCATAAAACAATGTAAAAAAGGAGTATATCTTAATATATTAGGATGCTATCTCGCAAAACTCGTAAAAAAAGAATACATAGCGCTCGAATGGAAGAGTAAGCGTATTTTTAATACTATAGGCAAAGTAATCTATAATAGCTACATGGCTAAACAGATTATAGGTATGGCAATAATTGTTAAAAAAACAATAAAAATTTAATATTTATCAAGTGCTTAAAAAATTAATAAACAATGTGTTTTTTTATTGTTTTTTACCTGTAGTGCCGATCTCCTTCATATTATTTAGCAACCAACAATACGCATAGAAAACTTCCTCCGAGGCTCTCGGGAACGGCGCTTGTGGCGCCAAGCTATAGTCCACAGATAATATAGGCACGTTTAACTTTGCCGCCCAATCTCGTAGATAGCTCTCGTGCGATTTCGAACTCTGTGCAACAAACCCGCCGCCATGACAGTGGAATATAATGCCATCTGCCGGGGGTAATGACGACGTTTCGTTTGTCTGTTAGAAACAACACACAATTTACTTGTTAATACTTTAAAACGGGATTTATATACTTCAATGCGGCCTCATCGCTCATAGCATAAAATTAATATAACCTATAATTTTTTACCACGTATTTTTTAAATATTAGACATAGTTATAGAGCATATTAACAATATGCTCTAAAATGTTTAAATATACTAACCATACCATTCCTCTTATTGACACTAATAAGCCTAACGTTGAGATCGTGTAGGCCAATATGTGACGCGGGTGGGAGAATAGTTTTCTCTTTCCCGTCCAGGGTCGACACTACGAGGGGCTCCGGAGTTATCGTTATCAGTTTATTCACAGCTACTGTCGTTGACATTAGACTAGGTACTCGTCTCATTATTTCTAAAACAATAATATTATAAGTGTTTAGAAGACACGGGAGGGGGTTTGCAAAACTTTTACACTTTCACCCCATGGCAATATATATATATATATTAAACATCGATTTTAAATTAAAAAAAAATTGTACGACACGGGCAGGTGAACGCTGTGAATCCCAGTTCAAGTGTCGTAAATTTTGCTTCATTCTAAACTAGCTGTGTCAGCGACTTCTGCCGCGTAGAATAATTATTTGGGCATAAAAAAATGTTTTTGCAAACTTCCTTCCTCTGTCCACAACGTCGGTCGCGTCCCGTCGTTCTTGCATGTCATTCTTAAAAGGTAGACATATATTGTCGCGATTTTTTTTTCTATATTATTGAATTATGTTATTTTCCCCGTTTATTGCACATTTCCCGCTGTTCCTTCGCTTCTATCGGTCGCAGCGTTAACCAATACAAAAATAATTGTTTAATTCCCACCAGTAGTTTCTGAGTTTGGAGCGATTAACAAAATAAACTGTTTAGCTTTATACATTAGTATAGATAGATGTTTAATTTATATAATGCAAAAAAAATCGAATCATAATAGATCGAAATACTGATCGATTGAGGTAATTACACTTATTTGCGACATTGAACTATTAATATTATGGTCTTTACTTCTCTTTGGATAAAGAATTAGCAAAGTAATAGGGTTTTTCTCACTAACCACTCTCAGTTAGAAACCAGAACGCCTTACAGAACTCCACACTAGCCGACTGCGATATATTTACAATCCGTCTGGCTCTCAACTCCGGGTCGATTAAGTACTGTCCGCCGGTCCATACAGAACTTATCAAGTTACCGTGACTGTAGTACGCTTCGGAGAATCCGGCCATGCAAATCGATATACCCTTTAGGATACCTCGTATGGATGGGGCAAACTGTAACGAATATTTATAATTAATTGTTTATAAAAAAAATCATGAACCAACCCCCCTCCGTCTACCCCCGACAGGTGGATTACTGATTGGACATATTGATTTTATTCCCCGTGCTTGTCTGTCCTCCTTTATAAAAAAGGCTACGTAATAATATTGTGGGTTTCAAATTATACAGGGGTTTCAGGCGCCCTACATTTACTACTACAATTGGACCAACAGTATAGTCGGGATTTTTGTTATAATGTTGGTAAATTAATCAGTGTCCGGTAAGTAATGAACTTTAATATATGCAACTGTCACTAATAAATGAGGAAGTATGCAACGACCTTTGTTAATTTTTTGCATGGTCATTGTTTATTCTTATGTTACGTTTAACATTCTATCCGTTCAATAAAGAATAGAGGTGAATGCAATAAAAACTAATAAGTATTATGAAAAGGAAAACGCGCAAATAAACGGGTTTTTGAGTCTGTAAATTACCCGGTTTTTTTCTTAGTCTTACTTTTTTACGTCATAATGAAACATTGTTTCAACTTTAACTTAAACAAACCACAATATTTCATTATATTTTTGTTACTGTCTGCTAATTATTATTTCATATTACATAGCGTTGAAATAAAACACTTTTCACGCGAAATATATTACTTAAATTATTTTAACTAAGTCCCGCCCTAAATAAGTTAACCAATATATTTGGCGTTTTAAACAGTTAAAAATGTTTTTTTTAGTATACGTACTGCTCAGTACGCGAGTAACACACAATACTTAAATTACAAACTGTTTCAATTACATGATGTCTGCGAACTTGTTATTATATATATTCAATACATTTTTAAGTAAAATATGAAACATACCTGAAATCCAAGGCATCTACCATAGAAGCAGTACTGATTTATTGTGTCAGCTCTAGAAAACAACTCTTCAGGTGAATGAGATTCAATAGGAAACAGATCTCCAGGTGGGGCCCAGGATATTAGGGTGTGAAGATGATGGAGGCAGGTGCCAAGTGATGCTAAGAGCTGACTGCAAGACTCTACTTCCCTAAGGAAAAGTAAATAAATTTTGTTTAAAACAAGTGACATACTATGTAGATTAAAATTAAATGATAATATATTGTTAGTAGCTTAAAAACATTTTTAATTTTTTTTTAGATGTTTCTTATTACACTGCAGGAGTTGCTTCTTCTAATAGAACCTAAACAAGTTTTCTCATCTCTTTGGACAGTCGTAACATTATGCGATATACTTTTCCTTTTAAAATCATTTTCAATAATTGTATTTAAACCCCTTTCAAAATAACTTACTTTGTTTGATTTTATGTTTTCGAAAGTATAATTTTTTACGTACTTAACAAAATATCCTTTTCTAAAGAGCAAAGCATCCCGCCCAGAACAGACTTGTCTGCTTAATTTCAGCCCGTGAAGAACACATGAGTCCACCACCGAAACAAAGCTACGATAACCGTTTCCCGGAGACTTCCCATCGAAGTCATATGATGGCGCGATCTGAAAATTAACTTTTATATACGACTTCTAAATTAAAAATTATTCATTATGTTTTAGCAGAATTCGAATCTATGCCAATTTGTGTTTCCCACACCTTATGGAATTTTGCAAGAGAATGGACAGATACCAAAACACAGTATGCAATATTTTTGTCATTGACTTTACTTAAGGTAAATATAAGAATAATAAGTGTTTAAATCATTGGGGATATATCTATATCATTGCTTTTGTATATACACAAAACTGTGGTTATTCACACATAGGTACTTAAATATTGTGCAACTTAGTTAAAAACTTCCAAGCTGTGACCTAATTTCTTTCAAGGCTAATGTGTTCCTATATTACAAAATCTACTTAGAATATTGTTTATCTTTTTATAAATAATCTATGTGACCCCTAACAAAGGGTGATTCATTGCAACACATGTAGTGAACATCTGAGTCAAAGTAATTATAATAAACAGTATTTCGCAAAGACTATACTTATGTTATTAATGATACAACATAACTCTTGTATTATAGCTATAGTTCAAAGCTATTAAAGAAAAAAAATTATTTAGACTCGAGCCTTAATCAGAGTAATAATGATTTTTTATTTTACACAAGTTTGCTTACGGAAAAGATGGCCTTGGCTTACATTTAAATTCTGGATTTTTTTCTATTTTTCAATTTCACAGAGGCAAAGAAAAATAGATATAGAGTGGCCAGATAAAACTTGGTTTAATCCTAGTTTGCTTAAATAAAGGCATTATATTCCTAATTGGTTAATATACAAAATAGTTATCTTACCTTTCTGACTTTATCCACTAATGGCCAAACTGTGTCTATATGGTCAATCAAAGTTATGAAACCTTGGTACAACCGCTGTCCATTCTCACTGTCGTCCGGTTGGAAATAAGATGCATTGTTCTGACATGAATCCTTCAAAGCCTCATACATAGCATAGGTAGGTGGAGCACCTTCGATTTCTTCGCAACATATTGAAGCTTTCGCAGGCGATTCAGGGAACGACATGTTACTGAAAGTTCGCGCCACGAACCGAAATCCACGGTTAATTAGTCTCAGATTCATCTGTAATATATTTATATAGTATAAACAAATTATCTAATAAATTTGTTTTGTAAAGAAAATAAACTATTTACAGAATATTTTGTCGTTTATTCTCATCTTCAACTACACTGACTATTTATTAAGAACAATTACTACATTGACGTGCAGTCGAACTTAATTACATTTCATAATAAAATTAAAATATTATGTGATTAAAAAGTAGTCATACACAGCTGTTAATTGCCACAAATTATCTATAGTGATTGATAGGTGTCTGACATATAGTTTGAACTTGACATTGACTTGACTTGACACCGTCTCCTAGAGTTTATTTAATACAGACACTGATAATATATATAAGTGTATGTCCGTATTAAAAATACTAAAATAATAAGACAAAACCTTTGGAAGGTATTAATAAACAGAATTCAACATAGTTATAATATTGAAAGAATGAAAAATGTGACATTAATAGATATGAATGAGTAAAAGGGTTTCATATTATCACCACACTTACTTTCTTTAAATTTATTTATTCTTACTTAGAAAATATATAGAAAAAATATAAATTAAGAAAGTTCAGCTCCCGGAAACTACTATCGTCTGGGTCTTAACAATACAAAATACCACCATACACATTATGTCACACACAAGCATTTGTGAAACGTTTGACCAAAATTTGTCAGTTGACACTTAACTTATTACAGTTCGTGAACTTGAAGACTGAAAGACCAATTTTTATTATTGTTTTGTAACCTATAAATATTATGCTATTTTAATTTGTTATGTATTATTTGTTATAAAAAGTGTTTTTTATTTGTACGTCGAAGTTCTTCAAACTAAAGCTACATTTACATTTCCATAGTAACAAATGAAAATCAAGCGAATTGGAAATAAAGTTTAAAATGGATATCGTTGAAGATTCATTCATTGAAAATATCGATGAGAAGATAACTGCTTCCAATGAGGTCGAATCAGACCAAAACTTGGAACATAGTTCTGTAACTTACCCGGCATTATTTACAAGTAGTACTTTAATAGAACTATGCTGTACAGCATGGGAAAAGCCGGCCAAGGTTACTGCAGAGAAGCAACCGTATATGCGAGGCTGTAAGTGGTCACCCGACGGTACATGCTGTCTATGTATAGTCAACAATAATGGAGTCCAAGTTATGGAACTACCTCGTGATCTGTACGAGGGTGGTATTAGTTTGAATAGGACAATAGATGTGTTGGAACCTGTAATTCACGTAAAGGAAGCTGGCTTAGTGTATGATTTTTGCTGGTATCCTGGTATGAATAGCGCAATTCCTGAAAGCTGTTGGTAAGTTACTAAGAATAATAAAAGCATCTATTATCTGTACTTTATATATAATCATAATTAACTATTACAGGTGCCTCTGTAATTTTACAGGCATTTGCCTTTAAAGAGTTGTTTTCTTCTCTTTATAAAATTTTTGTCAGAACTATCTCAAAATTGTAGTAAAGCTACTTGCATTTTTAAGCTCTCATCGTACTTGGGAAATGATCATATTGTTTTATCATATCTGACAAATACATTATCCATAAATGTCTTGCATTGTAGTTGGATCACTACAAGACAAAATGCTCCAGTACAAATGTGGGATGCATTTGATGGTTCACTAAGATGTTCATATAGAGGATTCAATGCAGTAGATGAAATGGAGCCAGCAGTCTCATGTACATTCTCGACAGATGGTTCGAGAATTATTGCCGGCTATAAGAAAGTATTGAGAACCTTTGATGTTGAGAGGTGAATTATATGCTTTTTAGATTAACTTTTTAATTAAATTCAAGTAAATTCATACAGAAAAGTGTTATATAAATGAATACTCCCTTAGGTTCTATTGTTTCAATAAATAAGCCTTAAAGGCAGTGCTTCAAATTGTGAGAATACAAATAAGTTGTTTTGGTCTATTAAGGCAATGAACACTGATCGTCTTCTCTTCTTCGTGTTGTGGACCAATACAAAGGATATTTTACTCACACTTTATACTAAATTTTTTAATTTAACACAGTGAAAGTTCATAATGCTTTCAGACCCTTTTAGAATATCAGTCTGATACCCTGCTGGTTATTCTCATTGGTTAGTCTCCAAAATTTTCTATTTATTGGCTTTGGATTTTTATTCAACTGATATTTTTGTTTATTTATAGACCGGGTAGAGAGTTCTGTGAGCACAAGATCAGCTCTCCAGCTTCTTGTTTTGCAACTAACAGTAACTTGTTGGCAGTGGGCTCTTGGAATACATGCATATCCTTATATAATACAAATGAGTTGGGTACATACAAAAGTGTTGGAAAAATGCATGGACATTCAGGTATGTGTAAGGGAAGGACTGTGTTTACCTAGTTACAGATGTAATAGTCCAAATATACTAACCATAATTTAAATAAAACACTTTAACGGTTTAAAACGCGATATATTAGTTAAACTTATTTGAAAATGATTTTTAACTTCGGCCCGACGTTTCGGATGCTTTGCAGCAGCCGTGGTCACGGGGAGACTACCACGGCTGCTGCAAAGCATCCGAAACGTCGGGCCGAAGTTAAAAATCATTTTCAAATAAGTTTAACTAATATATCGCGTTTTAAACCGTTAAAGTGTTTTATTTAAATGTGTACTACTCGCGTAAACTATAGACAGTATTTAACCATAATTGTAAAATAGTTGTTCTGTGTGTATTAATATTTTAGGGTATTGAAATCAATAATTTACAAAATTTCCATGTATTAAAAATGTATAATTTTTTTTCAGGTGGATTGACACATTTAAAATTCACATCAGATGGGCTAAGACTGGTATCAGGGGCACGGAAAGACAATCGGCTATTGATATGGGATATTCGTTATTATAGGAGGCCGCTGAATATACTCAGTAGAAACGTAGATACTAACCAAAGAATTTATTTCGATATATCACCGTGTGGAAAGTATCTGGCAACTGGTGGTACAGATGGGATAGTACGGATTTGGGATATGAATAAAGTTAACTGGACGGAGGAGTTGGATGCAATGGATAACCAGGATAATGTGTCATTTAAAGTGAGTGTCAACAAAAGCAGAGTAAAAAAAATTTGGAGTTATAACATTCTAGCAATCGAGTATATGTCTATTAATTCATCTTTGCTTTTGGTCGTAGGTTTGAGTCTCAACTGTGCTACTGTTTACATGAATAAAAATTGGAAATTATAATAAAAAAAAAATTACAATTATAGGGGCATTATTTGGTTTAAAATGGTGTGGAAAGAGGTCTAGATATGTTGTCGCGGGTTCGATTTCTGGTTGTGCTTTTATTTCTGCAACTCATACCCTGCCCCCCAATTTAATGACTTACGCTAGATAGATAGATTTAATTAGTTGTATGTTTTTGTTTTCAGTTTCCACTTCATCAAGACTGTTGTAATAGTATATCTATACATCCATGTAGACCAATCTTGGCGACAGGATCCGGACAGTATCATTTTGATGACCCCGTTTCTGATGTTATTGATGGCGACCTACACTACATGGATGAAGTAAAGGATTTGAAATATTCAAATAAATCTGAAAACAGTTTAGTTTTCTGGTGGATAGGCGATGTAGTTCATTTAAGATGACATAAAATATTCAGCTACTTATGTGGTTTTATTTTTAAATGTTTGAGGATATAGAATACTAATAAGAAAACATTTAAAATAATATACACAAATAAAAATGTTCGTGCATAGGCGGCCTTATCGCCTACGGCGTTTTCTTCCAGGCGATCTTTCCAAGAAAGAGAAATAGTATAGGTAAAAGTTGAATGCTCTAAAAAATACAAGTATGACTTACCAAAAATTTAGTCTAAAACTATTAATAGCATAAACTAAATCATGTTTTTATGCAGAAACAATTTGCATGATAACTATAATATGCCGTTGCATACGAATATGCAAAGTAATAGATATGCACTTTAAATTAATTACTTAAATTATAATTTGACTTAACAATCTTCACAATACTGTCTATAGTTTACGTCAGTAGTACACATTTAAATAAAACACTTTAAAAATTATGTTCAAATAAGTTTAACTAATATATTGCTTTTTAAACCGTTAAAGTGTTTTATTTAAATCTTCACAATATTTACAATCGATGCGTATCGTTAATACTGGCTCGGTCGAAAGAAAAAGTTAGTGATAAAATGATTTGTCACGCTCCATCATGGCTTTCAAGCAGGGGAAAAATGGTACCATGTACGATGAATGAGGTTATTAATGAAATATTGATAACAAAATTCTAAAATCAAATTTATTGATTTAATTCGAATTTAATATTAGTTTAAGGTAATTTACGAATGCCTTTTGATTTAGTTATGACCCTTCTACCTGAGCTGGTCTACTTGTAGAGACAAAAATAACTTCAAAGACGAAGTAAGAGAAACGACGATATTGACTGAACCAATGTTCCAAGATTTACAAAGTATACCTCAGGGTCTAAGTCAGTAAACTACCTCTCCGACCGTCGTAAGTCCATTACCTAAACTATCCTTTGAGTTGAAACGTAGTATTATTAGCCTTTAATAAGTATATACATTTTGTATTTGTCGTTCTAACTTTGATCAATAAAGGGAAAGTAATAAGAACATGTTTGTTTGATACCGGCCTGACTTTTTTATTTGCGAAGGCTTTATGAAGGCTTCTGTTGTGCACGGAAGAAATTCTTCTATAAGTTAGAGCGAGTAAACCTAAAAAATATGAGTCACTAAACGGTTTTGCTCAGGGTTTATTTATCTAGTTTCATTTCTACCAGGTCCAAGATGTTTCCAAAATTTCTTTATTACTTTCTAAAACAGTTCTTTGGACCTGCACATTATATGGATGGTATGGATATTATATATATAATATAAGTAGTAATCTGTCCAAATCTAATAGTCGTCAGTGCGTCTTGTTTAGATGTAATATTGCTAGGTTATAATGTACAATTAAACCCCATGTTTATGATTTCTTGTCATTAAAAACAATGATAATATCACAGTCAACTCTCTAAGTCTAATCAGCTTCTTAAAGTAGTGTAATGAGAAATCTATTTTCTTTGTATTATCATTGATATTATAGTATTTGAGAGTACCGCGGGGTAAGCTGGTTTGATATATACCTATGCGAGCACTAATCCTATCTAATATTCATGAGATTTAGCAGAACCAGCAGCTTGACAGAGCTTAAAGGATTCCTTATTTACCCCGTTGGTACGTTTAAATTATTAAGTCGTTAGCACAATACTTCTTCCTATAATTGCGCTTCGTGGTTTGCTCAGTTAAATTAGCATCAGTTTATGAAGTTAAATTGCTAAAACTTCCCTGCCGTTGTCGTTAAGGTGCCTTCGTATACCACTTCCAGGCAATTTGTGGTTTATCTCAAACTGGGGTAATTTGTATTTCTGTTTAGATTTTATTGCTAATATATTTGCAGTTGCGTAATTTTGGTTTTCGTAAATTTGCTTTCTTCTTTTCCTTTCTTAATTTAACAAAAAAGAAACGACAACGCAACACTTTCCTAAATGAATATAGTAAATATTTTCTAGTAAAACTCACAAAAGTTCTCTCTTTAGGGTTTTACTGCTTTTCTATTTGTTTAATTCAACTGGTATACTAACTATTATACCATCAATCAATTATGGGAAAATAAACACGTGTCAAAAAATTCTAAAGCTAAACAAAGTTACACATATAAATTAAGTTTAACTATGTGGAATTGCTTTAAATTCTTGGTATTTTTTATTTATATTACTTTTTAATGCTTTTCTGATATTAATCAACAATTATTGTATTTTTTTAACTTAACTAACAATAATTATGAGTAAATGAAAAATTAAGCAAATGGTGGTATAAAAAAATAGCGCTATCGATCAATCATGAACGTATTGAATGACGTAACATATAGTTTTTATTTTTAACGCGTATAAAATTGTGATGACTCTTAGTTGTAATAAGATTTCAAAGCCATTTAAAAAAAACGTATGAAAAAATATATTTTGAAATACGTTTAGAATATATTATTAATAGCAATTGTATACCGCGTTTGTCAATAAAAGTGTCGTATATCGTTGGGTCCAGAACAAACCTATCAAATCGCCCAGATCTATTTCATATCACGTTTACAAATCACTGAAGGGACGATGTTTGTACGCTGGACGCTGTTGACTGATGGATATGGACATGTTGCAAGTTTATTAACATATTGAGGACTTACTTAGTGTCCTATAGCATTGTATCGTTGGAAAATATGAATACAAGATGGAGGATTACGTATCACAATACATTTATTGTTAACCTCGTCGTTTTAATGGTAGCAATGTACGACTATAATACAAAGGTCGTAGGTTAGAATCCCACCAAGATGTTTCTATTATTTTGGATATGAAATGGATGGTAAAAAATATTCAAATTCCGTCTGGCTTACGAGCCACTGTCCACGGATGAAAAAGTCGCGAAGTTTTATCGCGTTTCGTTTTCAGTCTGTGGATATTCAAATATCCAAAGTTAAAATAGGGCGATAGCGCATTGGATAGTATGCCTATGGCTAGGACCTTCTATTAATCTATTAAACCTGCCCTCTATAATAAAGATATACAAGATTTTTTCAGCTTTTTGTTTGGTAACTTCTATATAACTAAATAAAACACTTTAACGGTTTAAAACGCGATATATGAGTTAAACTTATTTGAAAATGATTTTTAACTTCGGCCCGACGTTTCGGATGCAGCAGCCGTGTTCACGGGGAGATATTTTCAAATAAGTTTAACTAATATATCGGGTTTTAAACCGTTAGAGTGTTTTATTTAAATGTGTACTACTCGCGTAAACTATAGATAGTATTTAAGTTATATATATATTTACCAGTTTAGTTTACACTGTTCGTGTATATGCGATATTTTTGTAGATGCATAGGCAGGCTTTTATACTTACGGCCAGTTGCGAAGATTTTTATGACATTCTCAACAAAAATCCTTAGCTTGTTAAAAAGTGTCACTACAATGACAAATATGGCTTATCTAGTCACCCAAAGTTCCGCATTCAGTTTCTACAAAGTCACCTTACCACGTTATTTAAGCACACGTACAAAGATAATTTAAACTTTGGCCACTTAAGAATTTATCATCAAAACACCTGCATAATTGTAAATAATGTTTACTGAGACTGCGATAGTCGCGTAGTTACTTAATTATTGAGCTGAAGCAATCAAAGGCCGTCGTGGGCATCGAGATTACTCGTCTAATCTACCAAATGCTCTATTCCTCGGAGGTCCCTAAGCGAAGTTTCTTCGCCCCAAGAGCAATTTAATACATCGCACCATGATGAGAAAATTGTTCGAGTTCAAGCAATTGTGTAAATGATACTACAGGTGAGTGTAATGTGGAAGTCGTTAGGGTAAATCACTGTGAGAAAGTTAAAGCCATCGCGCGAAATATGGACCGTATTTGCCAAGTTATGTTGTGAAGCGATTTCGTAATCTGTACGTCCCGAAGATTTTAATTACAATAACTTCACGATACTTTATTTCACAGCGCCTAAAAGTAACATAATATTATCTTGGAATTCTTCCTGAAATGTGCTCTGTAGTTTACGCCAGCAGTACATTTAAATAACACACTTTTAATGGTTAAAATGCGAAATATATGAATTACCTTACATACGATTTATTTTAACTACGCTACCGTGTCTCACCGTGACCACGACTGTTGCAAAGCATTCGAAATGTCCGGCCGTAGTTTACCACTTAACTGCTCAACACTGCTTTAGGACCTTAGTTAATAAAATGTGAAGTGTTAAGGAAATACTATATACAATCGCTAATTTACGCAAGTAGTATACATTTAAATAAAACACTTTTAACGGTTTCAAACGAGACATAGTTTTATTTAAATGTAAGGTGGTATTCATAGCAAATTTTAGTTCGCAGCTCAGTTAATTTAATTTCGTCCTTCACATGATTTCATGTAGGTATTTATTTTAACTGTTTAATACAATAGTAAGACAGTAATTTTCTTTTGTAAATATTCAAAATTGGAACGTGTAAGTCATGAATTTATGAAGACCCCCGCCGCGCTTGGATGAAAATTTGATTTAATTTAGAAGACTCATTGTTTAATATTGTTCAAACTTTCATATATTTCGAGTTTAGACAAAGTCGTGAATACAAAATTTTCAGATGGGCGTGACAAGTATTTTTATAAAGATTCAATATTGTTTCACCGTTTTATTAAGACGAGGTAGGCTTACTTTTACCATAATTATTCGTTTTAAATTTGCGACTAAAATACCGTCTTCGAGTTTTCAAAACGTCTTCCCTACGACAAAATGATAATTTGTTCATTAAAATACGCGAGAACTCCGAATAAAATAATTTGTAATCAATTGTACCAAATTTAATAACCTTATAAGGAAAATTACCCTAAAATCTGAGGGTCTACTTAACGGGAATATATTCTGTTGACACGTACAATGTATTAAGTAAAAAATACATTGTTTAATTCATCGTCTTGTAATCAATCTTATCTAAGATTGATTGAAGACATGGATGGAACTGCGAATCATCCTGAGAATATAAGCAATTTGTTTTTCGTCAAAGGTTTTTGT